GGATTCAAGTATTTACATGAATGGAGCATCTGATGGGAAGGAAGCTCCTGCTGTATGAGATCCGGCTTGACCAGTTGGCTCGACTTCCTCCTCTTCTTCATCATTTGAATTTGTATTCTTTGTGTTCCTTTTGGGAGGCATCATTATTGTAAATAAATTATTCACCTAGTGGGTCCCACCGGGCGTGCCTAAAATATTGACGCTAAAATCAGTTCCTAAGATCTGATTCTAAATTGATGTCCCACCGGGCGTGCCAAAAATGTTGACGCTAAAATCGGCTCCCAAGATCCGATCTTAAATTGATGTAATGCGGGCGTGCCAGAACCAACTATATGGTTCAAGTGTAAATTGTCAACTTTTAGTCCCTTTGAGCAAGTTGGCTTTCAGGCGATTACAAGGAAAAAGGAACAAGAAAATTCCTCTTTGGGTTCAAAATTGCCGTAGTTAAAAGGACTTTTCGATGAATAACTTATAGTAAATATTGAGAGAATAGAAAAGGGAGAGAAATAGATATAGAAAGTGATAGGGAGAAGAGATAGAGAGACAGAGATATAGGGGGAGAAATAGAACGAGACTGAAATAGATAGAGAGAGATAGAGATAGCAAGGATGCTATTTGAGGAAAATGCTTGAGAAAGCAAACAAAATAATAAATTGATTCTAAGGGTGTTGGACCTCTTTCACAGCATGTCTCTTTTCTTATTTATAGAAAAACATAAATTATCTTCCTAAATACAAGCATTCTAAATACATCAAACTCTATCACATAATTAACTACTAAATTCAAATCAAATTCATCGATAGCTTAACTATTAAACTAAAACAAACTAAGTTACTGATAAACTACACTTAGCTAACCTTAACCAAAAGATAAAAACTACAAACTGCAATCCTTATCCATTTTTAAATTCAACCCAATCCTTGCACGCTAGTTATGCTCCATATGAACCTACATAACCGTTTCCTTCAAAAACCCATCTTGCAATCGGCCCATATACCAAACCAACTCCTTATCATGTTATCAACAGTAATTCAAGTCCCATCTTGCAATTGGCCCATATACCAAACCAACTCCTTATCATGCTATCAACAACAATTCTGGTTTTAACCTAAATCTATTGTTTAGTCCAACAATACATGCCTCCAGCCCAATATCTTTACGGCCCAAATACCAAAATGGCCCAAATACCAAAATGGGTGTCAACAGATACATCTTTATCTAATCGACTCTGCTTTTTGGAACCTGAATTCTTTCTAGATTTCAAATTATATCCCTCGTCCCATCTAATATTTTCTAATAATGTTAAACATAGATTTAAACTTTTGATTCAATAAGATTGACAAGTTTAATTTATCTCTAGTTTTCTCTGCTTTTTTTTTTTTTTAATTTTTTTTTTTTTAATTTTGTTATGTTCTCATTTATCTGATACCATGTACGGTGGTTTCTTTTCTGATTACTGATTAGGGATTTTTAAATTTCAACTTAACAACTTTAGCTAATGCTAGATTGTCACTTAAATTGGGCATTTTCTTCTAAATTTTTATTGGGTAGTTACTAGTTAGCACTTACTTTCCTAATGCATTCTAAATGAAAAGATTGAGTAGTTTAAATAAAATTAATAAGATTGAAATATCCATCTTAATTATTATTTGTAAAATATGCCCTTTTTTTTTCTTTTCTTTTTTTAATTTTAAACAGTTATGGAGAAATATTATAAAATAAAATCAAGGTTGGCACCTCCTATAAAGAGAGATGATGATTGAATGAAGCAAAGTCATTCCGACATCAACTTGAAAAATCTTCCACAGATCCAAGACTACGAACTCGAATCTTAGATAATCATCCTAATATTCGAGATGACATTCGTAAAGCATATTATCTTAAGGGTCCTTGTCAGCCCAAGACTCATCGTTTTCCCTATACGAGTTTTGGGCAAACATCATGCCGTTTCAACCCTGCTTGGTTTAGTGAATATTCTAATTGGCTATAATATAGTATAACCCAAGATGTGGCATTTTGCCTATGTTGTTATCTTTTCAGGCCGGATATTGGAGAACAAGCAGGAGGTGAATCTTTTGTGGGTGAGGGGTTTTCAAATTGGACAAAGAAAGAAAAATTTCAAACTTACGTTGGAGGCCCAATAATGCCCACAACCAAGCTTGAAGGTCATGTGAAGCTTTGGTGAACCAAAAACAACACATTCAAACAATCTTATACAAGCAGTCGCACTAATCTAGAAATGAATATCGGACTAGTTTGACTGCATCAATTGAATGTATCCGATATTTTTTACACCAAGGACTTGCCTTTCGTGGCCATGATGAATCTGAAGATTCAAACAATCAAGGGAACTTCCTCACACTTTTAAGATTTCATGCTCATCACAATGAGGATGTTAGAGCCGTTGTATTGGAAAATGCTCCAGAAAGTCTGAAGTTAACATCACCTAAGATTCAAAAAGAGATTGTAAATGCCATTGTAGTAGAGGTTGTCAATTTTATTATTAGAGATATTGGAGATGGATTTTTTTCTATTTTAATTGATGGGTCTTGTGATGTATCGATAAATGAGCAAATATATGGTTATTGTGTTACGTTACGTGAAGAATGGAAGTGTCATTGAACGTTTTATTGGTATGGTACATGTTACCGATACAACTGCTCTCTCACTCAAGATGGCAATTGATAATGTATTTTCTACACATGGATTGAGCATTTCTAGATTGCGTGGACAAGGTTATGATGGGGCTAGCAATATGCAAGGTGAGTTCAATGGTCTCAAAACCCTTATTCTGAAAGAGAATGAATTTGCTTTTTTATATTTATTATTTTGCTCACCAACTTTAGTTTGCTCTTGTTGTTGTGGCAAAGAATCATGGCCAAATTTTCACTTTTTTCGTATTTGTTGCTAATGTGGTGAATGTAGTTGGAGCCTCATGTAAACATCGTGATATACTTCACGAGAAACAAATAGCTGAAGTTATTAATGGACTTAACAAAGGCAAGCTTATAAGTGGGTAAGGCCTAAATCAAAGTACTTCTCTTGTACATGTAGGAGACACCGGTTGGGGCTCACATTATGGTACTTTAATTAGATTGATTACAATGTTCTCATCTGTAATTGCTGTTCTTAAGATTATCGAAAATGATGGATTGAAATCTGATCAAAGAGGTAAAACATCTATTCTACTTGGGTCGATACAATCCTTTATTTTTGTATTCGATCTCCATATGATGAAGACATTGTTGGGCATGACAAATGAATTATCAAAAGCACTATAAAGAAAAGATCAAGATATCGTGAATGCCATGGAGCTTGTCAAAGTATGTAAGCAATGACTACAAATGATGAGGGGTGATGGATGGGATTCTTTGCTTGATAAAGTTTATTCCTTTTGTGAGAGGCATGAGATTGATGTTCCCAACATAGATGATTTGTTCATTATTTAAGGACGATGACCACGAAATGTGCAAGAAATGACAAACTTGCATTACTATCGTGTTGAGTTGTTTTATTCTGTCATAGATATGCAACTTCAAGAGCTAAATAGTCATTTCAATGTGGCCAATACTGAGTTACTTCTCTGTGGCATGCCTATGTCCAGATGATGCATTCTTTGCTTTTGACAAGTAAAAGATTACTCGCTTTGTTGAATACTATCCAAAAGAATTTTCTCCAGCCAAGCTCATAGAACTTGGTAGTCAACTTGAAACTTATATTCTTGATGTGCGCTCTAATATCAGGTTTGAAAGATTGAAAGGGACAATGGCATTAATCTTACTAGTCGCGACTACCATGGTAAAATCTTACTAGTCGCGACTACCATGGTGGAGCGGACATTTTCTGCTATGAATATTATAAAGAATGAATTGCATAATCGGATGGGAGATCAATTTATGAATGATAGCTTGGTTGTGTATATTGAAAAAGAAATATTTAGGGGCATAGATAATGAGGCTATCATTCAACGCTTTCAAAAGATGAAAAGCCATCGAGGGCAATTGTAAATGTATTCAATAAAATATTATCAATCAATATTTTGGATCTTATATGTGTCAAGTATTCTACTTTAGTTCTTTTTATTTAAATTTTATATCTACTTGTTACTATTTAGTTCTTTAGATAAACAAATAAATTTTTTTATTGGTATTTTCAATTTACATTGTTAAAGAACATCTAGTTCCATCTTAGTTTAAGATAAAAATAATGAAATACAATCTTGTCTGCTTTGGTTATCAGGATTCACTATGTGCTTGGAGACTCAGAGAGTTGGTATGATTGCTTTGAAATGGCTCCTAGACTCCTAGTTCATCCAGTATCTAAGCTTGCCAGGTAATTTATTTATTTATTTATTGATTTTTTACTGTAAATGATTATAGATATTAAATTAGATATTAATTCTATATTTCCCTTTGAAAATAGTGACTTTGCTCTGATTTTCTTTTGGTCTTGTTTGTATTTTGATGTGAAAATTCTATATATGTCATTGATTTTTTTTTTTTCCTCATATCAAATACACTATGCCCCCCAGATTGAAATCCTGGCTTCGCCCCTAGACATCTTGGTTGAATTCTCACAAAACGCAAAAAACACCCGTGATATTATATATATATATATATATATATATATATATATATATATATTAAGTGATATCTTTTTATTCAACAAGAGATAATAACAATAATAACCAGCCTTTTTCCCCACAGCCGTTGGCCCATCTGTTTTTGGTACTACATTCAATCGAAGCCCAATTCTTCTCTCGTCGAACCATCTAATTGGGCCCAGTAAAAACAAGATTTTTTTTTTCAAGAAAACGAATCTAACGCATATGTCCCAATTTTATGACTTTTTCTGCGGTTTATAAAAATTTTATAATTTTTTTAACAATAAAATTTTTTAATAAAAAAAAAGAAACATATTTTCTGAGGAGTTTTAAAAGATCATTTATATTATTTTTATTTGTGTGAAAGAACAAAAGTTAAAAACTTGACCTGGGCTTGGTGGGGTGCGTCAGGCCCGTGCAATAGTGTAACGCATGGGCGATGCTTAAAGGCCCAGTAGCAAGCTACTGTGGTGGACCCTTCCCCTAAAAAAATTAATTTAATACCGAGTGGGCCATTGGCCCACGTATCAGATATTAAACTGATAAGAACAAATACTACACTTGATCTTAGCCAAAAGGCCGAGAAAGGTATGTTTTGAACTCTCTTGGGCTGCTTCTTTTATAACGCAACTAATGGTCTCCCTTTTCATTTTAATCGATGTGGGTTGAAAACATAAACAAACCCCACAAAAAGAAGCGCTCTCTTACTTTCTCATCGTTTTTTTAAAGTATTTTTCAAGTTGTCGGACAAGAAGAAAGAAAGGAGCTTAAGTAGGATGACCATTTTCAATACAACACAAGACACAGTAAACGTATTTGGATTGTAATTGTGTTACTTTGAGTTTGGTTCAAATCACATTCGGGTTGTAATTATGTTGATTCAAATTAACATGATAATAATTAAACGCGTCGTGTTTTTGTTTGACCTTTCAACTTGTTTAATTAACCGTGTCGTGATCATGTTATAAGTGATTCGTTTAACTAAATGTGTTTTATAAACCATAATAATCCTGATAGTATGAAATTTTAATTAAACGTGTCAAGTTGTATTTTGTAAGGTTTTGAACAATTTATTAAACGAGTTATGCAAATTGTGTTTCTGCTTGTTTCGACTAAGAGTGACAAATCGTGTTTGTGGGTCATAATCATATCGTGTTGATGTAAGGGTATTATATTAAATAGGTAAACATAAACCCAACCCATTTAATAATCGTGTCAAGAACACTCAACACTAATTCAACCCGTTTATGCCAAACCCAAACCCTTTTAACTCGTGTCGTATTATCGTGTCATAATTTGTCACCCCTAGTTTCGACCACAAAACATCATACTAATGTTTTGACATGATACAAATACGACACGCAAATATGAATTCTCACTCCTTTCATGTTTCAACCATGTTATACCTTACACCGACATTTTCATAAATTAAAAAGAATATTCTTGTATACCAAATTAAGACACCCATCAACTAGTCACTGGTAATGCCTGACTTCTATACCAACTATTTCCAAGGAGCTTTTTTGGTTTCAACTTTTCTTATTTTTATATATTTTATCATTCACAAAAAATGTACATCTTGCTAGCAATTTTATGACTTTTTCTGCATTTTACAAAAAATAAGTTTTTTATTAAAAGAAAGAATCATATTTTTTGAATAGTTTTAAAATATAACTTAAATTATTTTTTATTTGTGTGAAAGAACAAAAGTTAAAACTTGAACTGGGCAGAATCATATTTTATGAATAGTTTTAAAATATAACTTACATTATTTTTTTATTTGTGTGAAAAAACAAAAGTTAAAACTTGAACTGGGCTTGGAGGGGTGCGCCAGGCCCGTGCTATAATGCAAAACATGGGCGACGCTTAAAGGCGCAATAGCAAGCTACTGTGGTGAGCCCTTCTCCTAAAAAAATAAATTTAATATTGGGTGAACGCGCACATACCAAATATTAAACTGATAAAGAACAGATACTACTTGATCTTAGCCGAAAGGCTGAGAAAAGTATGTTTTGAATTCATAGAATCACATAGATGAATTCAGAAAGAACACTTATACTTTGTAGGAAGGAAAAGCAATTTCATGATGTCAGTTAATTGCAAGATTTGGTTAGAATACAAAAATATGATATTTTCCAAACCGAAGAGGTGAAAAAGGAGTTGTAATGGATGCTCATTCAAATTCAATTAGAAACCAAAAAGTGCAATTCCTTCACCATGATGTTTCATACACCCCAAAATTGGAGCTGATTCCGTGTGAAAATAAGGCAGCCCGACAACAGAGAGACCAACATTGACATTGGAACTCAACATATGAGGTTTTCTCATCATTCCCAGGGCTTTAAGTATATAATTAACCATGAAAAATATATTATACATACTGTTGAACTCATTAAAATGCAATGTTCAAACAATTTTGGCTTTGTTTTAAAAAAAAAGTGTCAACAACAAAAGGTTTTAGGAGATGCTCTTCTTTAGTACTAGTAGACTATTAATGATGATGGTAAGAATAAGAGCAACAGCAATGATGATGACAGAGAAGAAGAAAATACCTTGCTCCAAGCAATTGTTATACACTTGGACAAGTTGAAACAAGAAAATCCTTACCCAAAAATAAGTTGAAACAAGAAAATCGTAAATTCTGTTGTCACAAAATTATTTAGAAACAAAATTATGTGTCATCCCAATATATATATATATAGATATCTTTTTGTTTGTAAAAGAAACAAAAGGAATAAAAGTTGCACTGTATTTTTTTTTTTTTCCTTGTTTTACAGTGCTATTATAATCATCCTACCAAAGCAACAGAAATGTTCATAGAGCTTGTTTGAAGAAGAATTATGAGAAAACTATAAAATTTGAGTTGTATATGCTATCATGATTAAGATTGTAATGATGTAACAGTTGTGTACCAGCCAACAAAAATCATTGTAATTCTGTTGTTTCATCGTATAATTTAGATCTAGTGAAGGAATTTTCTTAACTGAACGGACATGATGTGAGTATCTGAATAAAATTAAAATCTTTACAGATATCGAATTTTTCAAGAGAAAAAATTAATTGTTCTTTAAGGTTTCTTAAATAAAAAATCTGACACATATGTCACCAATTTTATGATTTTTTCTAATTTTTTAATTTTTTTGTTATTTGTGTTAAAGAAGAAGAATTAAAACTTGAACTTGGCTTGGTGGGGTGCGCCAGGCCCTTGCTATAGTGGAAGACATGGGCGACGCTGAAAGGCCCAGTAGCTACTGTAGTGGGCTCTACCCCTAAAAAAATAAATTTAATACCGGGTGGACCATGGGTCCACGTATCAGATATTAAACTGATAAGAACAGATACTACACTTGATCTTAGCCAAAAGGCCGAGAAAGGTATGCTTTGATCAATCTTGGCTGCTTCTTTTATAACACAACTAATGCCCCCTTTTCATTTTTTAGTCGATGTGGGTTGAAAACAGAAATAAACCCCCCAAAGAAGCGCTCTCTCACTTTCATCTTTCAAATTGTCATTGCAATATACTGTAATTTTTTTAATGTCTTCCACTGAGGTATGTATACAAACGTTGAAACTTTGGGTGGAACATCTCTGAAGGGACAAGAAAGAAAGGGGTCTAGGTAGGGTGACAATTTCAATACGACACAAGACACAATAAACGTATTTGGATTGTAATTGTGTTATTTTGAGTTTGGTTTAAATCGTAGTATTCGGGTTGTAATTATGTTGATTCAAATTAATATAATAATAATTAAACGTGTCATGTTCGTATTTGACCTCTCAACCGTGTCGTGATCATGTTAAAAATGATTCGTTTAACTAAATTTATTTGATAAACGTGTTTAGTATTGTAGTAACGCATATTGTGTATACACAAAACATCATACTCATGTTTTGACATGATACACATTGACATGCAAATATAAATTGCCACCCACTTTCATCCATGTTATATACCAAATAGAAAAGAATATTCTTGTATACCAAAGTAAGACACCTATTTTACATTTTTATGGAACTTTTGGTTTCAACTTTTCTTATTTTTATATATTTTATTATTCACAAAAATATGTGAACAACTCACATCTTTACAAGAGCCCCGGAAAAAGAAAGAAACATATTTTCTAAATAGTTTTAAAATCACTTAAATTATTATTTTTATTTGTGTGAAAGAACAAAAGTAAAAACTTGAACTTGGCTTGGAGGGGTGCGCTAGGCCCGTGCTATAGTGCAACGCATGGGCAACGCTTAAAAGCCCCAATAGCAAGCTATTGTGTTGGGCCCTTCCCCTAAAAAAATAAATTTAATATTGGGTGGGCCATTGGCCCACGTACCAGATATTAAACTGATAAGAACAGATACTACACTTGATCTTAGCCAAAAGGCCGAGAAAGGTATGCTTCGAATTCTGTTTGGCCGCTTTTTTTTATAACACACTATTCACACCTCTTTTTCCCTCTTTGTCGATGTGGGATGAAACCAAAAATAAATCCCAAGGCACAAGCTCTAACTTTCATCATTTGAAGCATTCTCAACCTTTGAAGTTGATTTTGTATATATACATGTGTATATATATATAGAATTCAAAGCAGCTTCAGAATGCATTGTTTCTCTTTCATCTTCTTAAGCCCTGGGCAGCAAGACTTGCACCATCTATTTCCCTTCTTCCTCAAGTTATATAACATGGTGATGACATAAATTTCTAAGCTTATGTTCCGTTTATACAGTTTAGAATGCGTTACAATCACCGAGGGAGTGAGAGAGAGAGTAAACAAATTTCTGAAAGAAAGATTATTCATCAATTTAAGTTATGGAAGCTTTTCAAGCCTGTGACAAAAATGCATATTGATTATGCTTTGAAAATGTAAGATAAGGTACATCAGACATATTCTACATATACAACAATATTTGATCTATAAAATTGTTAGTACCTTCACAATTCAACTGCCTTGACAGAAGTTTTCGCAACCGCTATATTAAAGAGGAACTCTGTAGGATGGATCTACCATTCTTAAGATGAACAGGTTTCCCTCGTTGCCTCTTGCTATCCTGCAAACATGGACTCAGCGATTTAACATAGATACAAGATAGGGTCAAAACAAATGAAATTGATGCTTTTAAATTCAAAGGCATGTCAAAGAAACAAAAGGAATAAAAGTTCCACTGTATAACTTTTTCCTTGTTTTACAGTGCTATTGTAAACCTCCTACCAAAGCAACAGAAATGTTCATAGAGCTTGTTTGAAGAATTATGAGCAAACTATAAAATTTGAGCTGTATATGCAATTATGACTAATATTGTAACGATGTAACAGGTGTGTACCAGCCAACAAAATTTATTGTAATTATATTGTTTCATCATATAATTTAGATCTCATGAAGGAATTTTCTTAACTCTTTTTTTTTTTTTTTGAAAGTTAAATTTAAAATTCAAATATGAAAAAAGTACAAGTACAGCCCAGTAGTTAGCAAAATATTGACTACAAAATAGTATACAAGTACAACCCAAAAGGCCCAGTGGGAAAGATACAACATTGAAGACTAATAAACCAGCCCGACAGCAGTAATGTGTGATATTGAATATCAACAACTATCCGGTGATCATGGAGCTAATTTCCAGCAGTGGTGGGAGAAATTTAGCACCTCAAGTCAGGTGGCTTTGCAGGTGGACGAATCACTGAATCAGGGAGGTCCCATTCCAAAGCAATTCTTGTGGTATTGAGGGAATCAGTGATTGTAGAGGAGAGTAGTTTTGCTCGAACTGTTTCCAAGATGAGGTGGAGGATAGAGTTGGCACTGAGTGCTCTCTTTTTAAAGATTCTGCTGTTTCATTTTGGAGATTGTATTGCTATGGACTTCTGAGTTCCCCCTCCAATGGTGTGATGCCCAAACAATAAATCCTGCCCAGGAGGGGGGCTGAATGTAGAACCTACATCTTGCTTGTAGAAAGTGCACAAAGGCTTGACAAATGAACAAGAGAGGAATAGATGATCATGAGATTCAGCTTCAGTGTTGCAAAGAGTACACATTGTTGAGTTGATGTGTGCTGTGCACCTTCTGTTGAGAGTTGGCAGTTTGTGTTGAATGGCAACCCAAAGTGTAAAGGAGTTTTTGGAATGGATGATTTAGACCAGACTAGGTGAGGCCAAGGTAGGGTAGGGTGTTGTTGGTTGAAGTGTTTCATTGTTCTTGAGATGGAGAACCGGCTGCAGTTGGAGGGAAGCCAAATGAACTTATCTCTGCTGCTGGGGTTGGGGGTTGGTAATGAACCAATGTTTTGCAGCTGTGGTAGGTGGTTGAGGATGGTTATAGGGAAGGACCATGTGTTGGGGGTGATGAACGAACCGACTTTTGTCATGTTATCAAACTCCATCTCTGCTCTTTGATGTGGTTGGACAAGTTGATGAACCAATTTTCTTCACAATCATATATAAAGCTTATTGGAAAGCAACTAGCCTCCCCATAAAGCTGTTTCAAAATAACATAGAAGAACCTCTGTTAGCAACATTGCAAGAATATCCTTGTGGGGAAATGTGTTTCATAAGACCAAATTGATACACATTTTTAATAATAAAATCAACCATTCTCAAACAGTCTTTTATCAATTATCACATTCCAGAAACCATGTTAACTGGGCTTGGCGGGGTGCGCTAGACCCTTGCTATAGTGCAAGGCAAGGGCGACGCTTAAAGGCACCAGTAGCAAGCTACTGTAGTGGGCCCTCCCCCTAAAAAAATAAATTTAATATCGGGTGAGCCATTGGCCCACATATCAGATATTAAACTGATAAGAACAGATACTACACTTAATCTTAGCCAAAAGGCCGAGAAAGGTATGATTTGAACTCTCTTTGGCTGCTTCATTTATAACACAACTAATGACACCCCTTTTCATTTTTTAGTCAATGTGGGATGAAAACAGAAATAAACCCCCCAAAGAAGCACTCTCTCACTTTCATCTTCTGAAGTATTTTCAAATTGTCGTTGCATTAAAAATATACTGTAACTTTTTTAATGCCTTCCACTAAGATGTGTATACAAATGTTGAAACTTTGGGTGGAACATCTCTGTTAGAGGGACAAGAAAGAAAGGGGCTTAGGTAGGGTGACAATTTTCAATACGACACAAGACACAATAAACGTATTTGGATTGTAATTGTGTTATTTTGAGTTTGGTTTAAATCATAGTATTCGGGTTGTAATTATATTGATTCAAATTAATATGATGATAATTAAACGTGTCCGTGTTTGACCTCTCAACCTGTTTGACTAACCGTATCGTGATCATGTTATAAATGATTCGTTTTACTAAATTTGTTTGATAAACCAGTAATAACAATCCTAATAGTATGAAATTTTAATTAAACGAGTAGTATTTTGAACAATTTATTAAAAGAGTTGCACATATAATTTTTGTGCTCAACCCACAAAACATCATTCTCATGTTTTGACATGATACACATATGACATGCAGATATAAATTGCCACCCCCTTTCATCTTTATGTAATATACCAAATTAAAAAAAAGAATATTCTTGTATACGAAATTATGACTCCCAATTTACATTTTTATGAAGTTACAACAACTTGAACTGGGCTTGGAGGGGTGCGCCAAGCCCATGCTACAATGCAACGCATGGGCGACGCTTAAGGGCCCCAATAGCAAGCTATTGTGGTGGGCCCTTTCCCTGAAAAAATAAATTTAATATTGGGTGGGCCATTGGCCCACGTACCAGATATTAAACTGATAAGAACAGATACTACACTTGATCTTAGCCAAAAGGCCGAGGAAGGTATGCTTTGTACTCTGTTTGGCTGCTTCTTTTATAAGACAACTATTCACTCCTCTTTTCCTCTCTTTGTCGATGTGGGATGAAACAAAAAATAAATCTCAAGGCACAAGCTCGCTCTCTAACTTTCATCCTTTGAAGCATTCTCATCTGTTGAAGTTGATTTTGTATACATACGTGTGTGTTATTTAGAATTCAAAGCAGCTTCAGAATACATAGTTTCTCTTTCATCTTCTTAAGCCCTGGGCAGCAAGACTTGTACCATCTATTTCCCTCCTTCCTCAAGTTATATAACTTCGGGGATGACATAAATTTCTAAGCTTATTGTCACGATCCGATTCCTAACGACGCCATGAGCATAGAAGACACGCATGCTGGTTGGCTAAGAACATTCATTGACTGGGAATGGTTCCAGGGAAGGGGCGTGCAGGACCACAGGATGGTACCTCTTCAGAGTTCAGGTAGGTCGACTCGGTTCAGTTCGAGGTGCTTGTCGCTAGTCGTGGACTTGACTATGAAGAAGGGAGTTAGCCATCTCTGCACAAACTGGTCGGGAGCTGGAGCCGTTCCCCTGACGAGGCCATGGCAGGCCGAAACCAGTCAGCATGTATCCTTGGGAGGGCAGGTCGTGGTGGCTGACCAGGACGCTTGCGCGAGCTAAAGCAACGTCTTGGTGCCGCACGGGCCGTGCCGCTGCGCCAAATCTCTAGGCCCGTGACTAAGGTGTGCCCCCTTGTTGATCCGGGGGTCTTGAGAATGAAGTAGGTGCGCCAGAGCGTCGGTGGGCAATCAATGCTGTTGGAGGAGAGCCTCCATATTCCCATGAAGACGCGTCTTTTGAAGTCGGAGGGCCGCGCGCAACGGATGGCCGGAGGGCCACGCGCACCAAAGTTCTTGCAAGTTCAAGAGGCGTGCAAACCATTGTGAAGGGCGGGTATCAAGTCAGCCGGAGGGCCCTTGTTTGCTCGAGGTGTCGCGGAGGCGGCATAACGTGGGGTTGCGTCCCGAAGAAGTGGGCATCCCTTTAGCCCGAAACTCTATCATTGGGCGAGTGTAGCCAGGGTTATACAAGGAAGCAATGGTGGGCAGGCGAGCATACCACTTGGAGGAGAGAGACTTTGGAATGTTGGACGCAGCGGAGTCAGCGCCGCACTGCGACGAGGGCGTCGCAGGATTTGGGTGAGGGAGAGTGTCATGATCCGATTCCTAACGACGCCATGAGCATAGAAGACACGTATGCTGGTTGGCTAAGAACATTCCTTGACTGGGAATGGTTCCAGGGAAAGGGCGTGCAGGACCACAGGATGGTACCTCTTCAGAGTTCAGGCAGGTTGACTCGGTTCAGTTCGAGGTGCTTGTCGCTAGTCGTGGACTTGACTATGAAGAAGGGAATTGGCCATCCCTGCACAAACTGGTCGGGAGCTAGAGTCGTTCCCCTGACGAGGCCATGGCAGGCTGAAACCAGTCAGCATGTATCTTTGGGAGGGCAGATCGTGGTGGCTGACCAGGGCGCTTGCGCGAGCTGAAGCAACGCCTTCGTACCGCACGGGCCGTGCCGCTGCGCCAAATCTCTAGGCCTGTGAGATTATGTTCCGTTTGGTAGTAGGGATGGAAGACATTTCTAAAGAAGTCATATCTATTTCTTGATAAATTGGTTTAGCATGCGTTACAATCACCGAGGGAGAGAGAGAGTAAACAGATTTCCGAAAGAAAAGATTATTCATCAATTTAAATTATGGAAGCTTTTCAAGCCTGTGACAAAAATGCATATTGATTATGCTTTAAAAATGTATGACAAGGTACATCCACATATTCTACATATACAACAAAATTTGATCTATAAATTGATAAGTACCTTCACAATTCAACTGCCTTGACAAAAGTTCCCGCAACAGCTACATTAAAGAGGACCTCTGTAGGATGGATCTACCATTCTTAAAATGAACAGGTTTCCCTCGTTGCCTCTTGATATCCTGCAAACATTGACTCGGTGATTTAACATAGATACAAGATAGGGTCGAAACAAATGAAATTGATGCTTTTAAATTCAAAGGCATGGGGCTAGATTGTTAATGGAAATGGACAAACACCCCAAAATTGGCGCTGATTCCGTGTGAAAATAAGGCAGCCCGACAACAGAGAGACCAATATTGACTTTGAAACTCAACATATGAGGTTTTCTCATCATTCCCAGGGCTTTAAGTATATAATTAACCGTGAAAAATATATTATACACACTGTTGAACTCAAGGAACGAAGGACAATTGTATTTATGATTGTCATATTGTTGTTATTATAATTTTTTGATAGGTAGTAAAAGCAACTAGCCTCCATAAAACTGTTTCAAAATAACATAGAACCTCTGTTAACAACATCGCAGTGTCCTGAATGCTAGTAAAGATTTATATCCTTGAGGGGAAATGTATTTCATAAGACCATAATGATACGAGTGAACACTCTGAGAACTTGACCAACTAGATGCTAATCAACATTCAGTTCACTTATTTGCTGAAAATCATGAACTTAAGAACTGGAACTGAAGTTAATGAATTAGAAATAAGAAAGAAGGAAATGAGATGGTAAGCAAAAAAAATACCTGACTGAAAAATGGACAAGTTTCCATGTTCTGAGCCCTTAAAGTATCCAAATTAATTGCCTGGTAGATTTTTCCGTTTGCCATAAAGAATTTGGGCCTCTGTCACAATTTGTAGCAGGAAGAAAGGTTCATGAACAAATTTAGAAAGAAATAGTGATCATACAAAAAAAAAAAAAAAAAATTAAAAGAATGCATTGGATTGGAAATAGTCAACTCTAGTTGTCTGCATCAAAAAAATAATACAAGACTAAATGCAGATAAAAGAGATAATTCCTTAAATAAAAGAGGGTTCGGGGCAAACAAATATCTTATCAAATATAGCATTAGCATTCTTTTTTTGTTGGAAAGAAAGTCCAAATAGAGTAGCAATTTCAATCAAACAGTCGTACACTACCTAAACAACTTGAAATTGGGCTTGGTACGCTGGGCCTCCCATAAGCTACAGCACCATATACAACAATTAATTACCAGACATATTTTCAACAGCCATTGGGCCCAAAATCAATCTTTCTCTAATTTGGCCCAGTATAAACATCGCCCAAGTTAAATTTTTCAAGAGAGAAAATATTAATTGTTCTTTAAGGTTTCTTAAATCATAAATCTAATTTTATGATTTTTCTCACAGTTTAGATCAATAATTTTTTTTTCCCAAAAAACAAACGAACATATATTTTAATTATTTTGTTAGTTGTGTAAAACAAGAAAAATTAAAACTATTTTTGTTAGTTGTGTAAAACAAGAAAAATTAAAACTTGAACTGGACTTGGTGGGGTGCGCCAGGCCCATGCTATAGTGCAAGGCATGGGCAACGCTTAAGGCCCAGTAGCAAGCTACTGCAGTGGGCCTTTCCCCTAAAAAAATAAATTTAATATCGAGTGGGCCATTGACCCAACGTATCAGATATTAAACTAATAAGAACAGATACTACACTTGATCTTAGCCAAAAGGCCGAGAAAGGTATGCTTTGAACTCTCTTGTGCTGCTTTTTTTATAATACAACGGATGGCCTCCTTTTTCATCTTTTAGTCGATGTGGGTTGAAAACATAAGTAAAACCCCCAAAGAAGCACTCTCACTTTCTCATCTTTTGAAGTATTTTTCAAATTGTCATTGCATTAAAAAATAAACGTATTTTAATGTCTTCCACTGAGATGTGTATACAAAAGTTGAAACTTTGGGTGGAACATCTTTGTTAGAGGGGCAAGAAACAAAGGGGCTTAGGTAGGATGACAATTTTCAATACGACACATGACACAATAAACGTATTTGGATTGTAATTGTGTTACTTTGAGTTTGGTTTAAATTGTAATATTTGGGTTGTAATTATGTTGATTCAAACTAATATAATGAAAATTAAATACATCGTGTTCGTGTTTGACCTCTCAACTTGTTTGACTAACCGTGTCGTGATCATGTTATAAATGATTCGTTTAACTAAATTTGTTTGATAAATGTGTCATAATAATTTTATAAAATTTTAATTAAACGTGTCAAGCAGTATTGTGTCAGGTTTTAAATAATTTATTAAAAGAATTGCGCATATTGTGTTTCTACTCGACTCACAAAACATCGTACACATGTTTTGACCCTTTCATCTTTCAACTATATCAAATAAAAAATATATTCTTGTATACCAAATTAACATTTTTATGATAAGTTATTACATACGTATGAAAAGTCACCATTAAGTTCATGTAACAAAATCACACTTATAGACACATCCGCTTCATACAAGATTCAATTTCCAAATCACAGAGGGGGAGATGAATTTCCAAGGAGCTTTTGGTTTCAACTTTTATTATATTTATATATTCCAATTTTATGACTTTTTCTGTAGTTTACAGTGTAAGAAATAATTTTTTTTTTATTAAAAGAAAGAAACATATTATCTGAATAGATTTAAAATATCAATTAATTTGTGTGAAAGAACAAAAGTTAAAATTTGAACTGGGCTTGGAGGGGTGCGCCAGGCCCATGCTATGGTGCAACACATGGGCGACACTTAAAGGCCCCAATAGCAAGCTACTGTGGTGGACCCTTCCCCTGAAAAAATAAATTTAATATTGGGTGAGCCATTGGCCCACGTACCAGATATTAAACTGATAAGAACAGATACTACACTTGATCTTAGCCAAAAGGCCGAGAAAGGTATGCTTTGAATTCTCTTGAGCCGCTTGTTTTATAAGACAACTATTCACTCCTCTTTCCCTCTCTTTGTCGATGTGGGATGAAACCAAAAATAAATCCCAAGGCACAAGCTCTCTCTCTAACTTTCATCCTTTGCAGTATTCTCATCCTTTGAAGTTGACTTTGTAGATAGACGTGTGTATATATATATAATTCAAAGCAGCTTCAAAATGCATATTTTCTCTTTCATCTTCTTAAGCCCTGGGCAGCAAGACTTGTACCATCTATTTCCCTCCTTCCTCAAGTTATATAACTTGGGGATGACATAAATTTCTAAGCTTATGTTCCAGTTGGTAGGAGGAATGGAAGACAGTTCTAAAGGAGTCGTATCTATTTCTTGATAAATTTGGATACAGATAGTCTGGTTTAGCATGCTTACAATCACCGAGGGAGAGAGACAGACAGATTTCTGGAAGAAAGATTATTCATCAATTTAAATTATGGAAGCTTTTCAAGCCTGTGACAAAAATGCATATTGATTATGCTTTAAAAATGTATGATAAGGTACATCCACATATTCTACATATACAACAAAATTTGATCTATAAATTGATAAGTACCTTCACAATTCAACTGCAAGTTCTCGCAACCGCTACATTAAAGAGGAACTCTGTAGGATGGATCTACCATTCTTAAGATGAACAGGTTTCCCTCGTTGCCTCTTGATATCCTGCAAACATTGACTCAGCGATTTAACATAGATACAAGATAAGGTCAAAACAAATGAAATTGATGCTTTTAAATTCAAAGGCATGTCAAAGAAACAAAAGGAATAAAAGTTCCACTGTATAACTTTTTGCTATAATAAGGCACTGTAAAACAATTGGAGCTGATTCCGTGGGATAATAAGGCAGCCCGACAACAGAGAGACCAATATTGACATTGGAACTCAACATATGAGGTTTTCTCAACATATGAGTATATAATTAACCATGAAAAATATATTATACATACTGTTGAACTCAAGGAACGAAGGACAATTGTATTTATGATTGTCATATTGTTGTTATTATAATTTTTTTAGAGGTAGTATAAGCCCGCCTTGGCTTAATGTGATTTGAACACGGAGCTTCTCCTTCTGGGAATATTAGGAGATACCACTTTAATTCAAAAGCTGGTGATAAATTTTACTAATTAAATCAAACCTACTTTGATGTAAAATTCATTAAAAGTTGCCACAATATCCTCCACAACCTTTTTTCATGGGGTCAACACCCCATAATTGAGAATCCAAGGCAATCTCAAATTCACAGTTTTGTGACAATAAGCTTTGAGAATCTTTACCGTAACTCCTCATCCAAGTACGTGATTTCTAGTTGACCACGACCACTGCCACGTGCCTTTATAGGTATCTGAGAACCATTAAAATGAACTGTTTAAACAAGTTTGACTTTGTTTTAAAAAAAGTGGCAGCAACAAAAGGTGTTAGGAGATGCTCTTCTTTAGTAGTAGACTACTAATGATGATGATGGTAAGAATAAGAGCAACAGCAATGATGATGACAAAGAAGAAGAAAATACCTTGCTCCAAACAATTACACTTGGACAAGTTTTTTTTTTTTTTTGGAAAGTTACACTTGGACAAGTTGAAACAATAAAATCCTTACCCAAAAAAAAGTTGAAACAAGAAAATCTTAAATTTTGTTGATGATTTTATGAGAAACTGCAAGTACGATTTGTTTTTGAAATTGTAGATTTTCAATGACATGGTTCAATTAAGGATTTTTTTAAAGACAGAAATCCAAAGCTGACAAAAGTGTGGAGGGGAGTAGATGTAACTCTAGTGCTTGTCCATAAGTAACCACATGAACTCAGGTCATTTAGAAATCCAAAAAATTATGTATCATCCCAAAAAAAAAAAAAAAAAAAAAAAAAATTTTGTTTGTCAAAGAATCGAAGGAATAAAAGTTACACTGTATTTTTTCCCCTTGTTATACAGTGCTATTATAATCCTCCTACCAAAGCAACAGAAATGTTCGTAGAGCTTGTTTGAAGAATTATGAGCAAACTATAAAATATGAGTTGTATATGCTATTATGATTAAGATTGTAAAGATGTAACAGTTGTGTACCAGCCAACAAAATTGATTGTAATTCTATTGTTTCATCATATAATTTAGATCTCATGAAGGAATTTTCTTAACTAAACATACATGATGTGACTATCTGAATAAAATTAAAATCTTTACAGAAAAAGCAGAATTTCACTTACCACACCAGCAATTTTGAAAGCATCGAATTTAACAGCCACCCTTCTCGCATTTAGAGGTACTAAATTAGCAGTGGCCTGCAAATATTGGAGAGTGGCTTCAAACTTGACGGACAAGCTTAAAACCATTACAAGTTTATAATAACCGAGGAAAATCGGCACCGATATTCACCACAGATAGTAAATTACAACCACCAAATTCTTACAATATGAGATTAGCCTCAGGAGTCAGGATCAACTAATAAAACCTTGGTGTAACTACTCTGAACTAGAACCTATTTCAACAAGGAGCTACAGTGTCATTATCATCATCCTTGCCTTTAACCCAAATGAATAAGGTCGGCCAAACAAAAAGCTAAAGTAGCATGCACAAAGCAGCATTGGTCTTGTATGTTGATGCTGTCCTATTCAGTTGGTGTTCATTTCCATTTTAGGTACCAAATAACAGACACTAAAACATGTATTTTCAATCATATAAAGCTTATTGAAAAGCAACTAGCCTCCATAAAACTGTTTCAAAATAACATAGAACCTCTATTAACAACATCGCAGTGTCCTGAATGCTAGTAAAGATTTATATCCTTGAGGGGAAATGTATTTCATAAGACCAAAATGATACACATTTTTAATACTAAAATCAACCATTCAAACAGTCTTTTATCAATTATCACATACCAGAAACCATGTTAGCTCAAGACTTTAACAATGGGGATGAACCATCAACACACGCTTTCTAGGAGTTGAAAAAGTGTCGCACCAAAGAAACAACTCCGGCCTAAAATTGTTTTCCTTTTTTATTATTATTATTTTTACATTTCATGCATGTGGGATGGCAAAAAATGCATGCTAGTACAGACGAAGAATTCTTAGTCTAGATTTCTGATTAAGTTTGATTTATTATAACTATATTATGGACACCAATTGTATTAGGTGAATGATTTATCTAGAAACTGACAAACAATTAAAAGGCCAAACTCTACAGCGATCAAATGACACCAAAGTACACAAATGTTGTTTGAATGCTGCATGTGAACACTTGAACTTGACCAACTAGATGCTAGTCAACATTCAGTTTACTTATTTGCTGAAAATCATGAACTTAAGAACTGGAACTGAAGTTAATGAATTAGAAATAAGAAAGAAGGAAATGAGATGGTAAGCAAAAAGAATACCTGATTGAAAAATGGCCAAGTTTCCATGTTCTGAGCCCTTAAAGTATCCAAATTAATTGCTTGGTAGATTTTTCCGTTTGCCCTAAAGAATTTGGGCCTCTGTCAAAATTTGTAGCAGGAAGAAAGGTTCATGAACAAATTTAGAAAGAAATAGTGATCATACAAACAAACAAACAAACAAACAAACAAACAAAAAAAATTAAAAGAATGCATTGGATTGGAAATAGTCAACTCTAGTTGTCTGCATCAAAAAAATAATACAAGACTAAATGCAGATAAAAGAGATAATTCCTTAAATAAAAGAGGGTTCAGGGCAAACAAATATCTAATCTAAACAAGAAAATAGTCTGATAAACACATTAGACAGACATCATTAAATCTAACAACTATATGAGGGAGAAATGAGTAAAACATCCTATAAAGAGAAAAATTATTTTTCATTTAATTCCAGATGCATACAGATTAAAAACCAAACTTTATCTGCATTCTTCTTAGTCAGTATTCAGATAAAAGAGGTCAAAAACCCTTTTATTCAAACAGTAAAACCCTTCTGTTACCTCGTACCTGTAAATCTGTAATTCCAGAGGTTGAAAAATTCGACTACAAATGGGTTGTAATAGGTGCAAGCCCTGAAAAAGAATGCTTGAAGCGACAAAAAACTATTTGCCACAAGTGTATAGATGATCACCTCAAGATAAAAGATAGGAGGACTTTCTTAGTAGGTTTCATTTCTTAGAGGCCTTCAAGGCACATAATGATGTAAATTTTGATAACAAATATGGCCACTGGTGGAGTAGATTACTAACTTGGTCATACCTGGGTTTGAAGAATTGATGTAGATGTTGTATATAGAAGTTCCCACTTTCCATTCAGCAAATTAGACTTCAGTGGCTCCTTTGTTTTATTCATTGCTTCAAGTTTACGTGCAATCTAAACAAGAAAAAAGAAAAAATCCAGAAATGTCAAGATAGAAATTCTAACTCTAACCTAGGACATGTAGATTAATGAAAAAAGTATGAGATACCTTCTTTTCTCATTGTAACCAAACAATATCCCTTTTTTATTTATTCACAACGGCACAAATAGTATGCACATGGTTATGCATTTCCATCACACGGAGACATGAGTTGACAGTAAATATATCTAATGGGACTTGAAGACAAACACTTAAATTAAAAAGAAAAAAAATTGTAGAAAAAGAATCATGAAAGAAGTTGAAACTGTTCTTCGACATTGGGGCAAGCAAGTAATTATCATAACTGTACTAAATGAAGTATGGCAAATGAACTTGAGTTTGTACGGTTTAGTTAGGAATAGGTAACACAACAATTTGAAAAAGTATAGATGAACTAAATCAAGTAATACCTAAAAAGTAGGAACCTTTTGTAGGAGGCTTCTGTTTTACACTATAGAGGTGGTATAAGAGCGATATGGAAATGGAGAAATGAATGGTACAAGGAAGGCTGTCTTAGAGTTGGAACCATATGTGATCTTATAAAATATATAAATTAAAAAATTAAAAAAAAAAAGAAAGAAAGAAAGAAAGAAAAAAAGAAAAGAAAAAAAAAAGGCCTCAGAAGTGGGGGAAAAAACATCTAGTGACCCTTAAGTAGGAGTCCAGCAGACTTCTTTCAGACAAGTAGAGTTAACAAATTAGCATGCAAACATTGCAAGGCTACTAGACAGAACCTAAGCTCAAGTTTTACTTAACTGTATTAGATATATATTTGAAGGGAGAACAAGAGAGTGGGAAGCTTATAAAGGAGTTAAATTAATAACTTATTTTCTCAAATAACATATAAAACAGAAAAATACAATTTTATAAACAAAACTAATGATATGCTCATATGCAGATGGCCAAATGTATAGAAGAGTAACAAAAGCAGAAAGAAATGGCCACTATCGAAGAAACCTTGATGATGAAATGAAGTGGTGAAATGCTTTCAAAACATAAAATGGTAATGGTATAGAACTTTGCAAAATCACAAAAAAATAAGGATTTTTATTAGAATATAAATGTGAAAGCATAGGGACAGATGGAATGCCTCAAACCAACTCTATGAACCTTAAGACAACAACAAAATATTAATCCTGTTAAATTACCAAAATTCCACACAACTTTTATATCCTAAAAATATCCTGAATATCACAAACAATTCCCATAAAAAATTAGAAAATTCCCACATGAGTTGAAAATTAAAAATAAAAAATTTGAATAGATGATTTCTGACATGCATTGTGATTTTTCACTTTTATTAATTTCTGGGTTCTTTCTGAAACCTTAACCACACACACACACACACATATATATAAATTGGGGTAAAACATAAAATCACCTGATCGACCCGTTCTTGATCTTCAGTAGTGGCCTCGGCGCCGCGGTCGAGGGGAGCTATGGCCTCGAAGAGCTCCTCCTTGAGGCTCTCACTATCTTTGCCTTTCGTCAAAAAGGAAGGAAAGAACGAAACCCTAGTTCTCCACCTCTGATGACCAGAAACTTCAAAGGGTTTGTTGTTGGGGATGTATTCGATCCGGGTGGTGGTTGATTGGGGTTTTCTTGGAAATGAGAGAAGTGGGTTTGATGTGATGATAGTTGCTGAAGTGTGAGAATTGAAGATATGATGGGTTGATGATTTGAAAAAGGTATTATTGATATTGTCGTTTGACAGAGTAACACAACAAGAAGAGAGAGCCATTTGATGATGACTGATCTGATTTCAAATCTTAGTTTTTGTTGATTTTGTTTATTTTGGTTGACAGTGGATAGTGTTGGGGGTTGTTATCTTCCATCATTTCTAGTTAACTTCCCGCCACTAATATCTCTTGCTATATTTAACCCAAATTCTACTCGGTGCACATTTAGATTCAATAACTTCTTATTTTTATAATTAAATAGGAATATCAAAACATAAAAATAAAAAATTATTAAATAATATTCGTTTTCTTTAACTAATTTTAAGAAACCTCTTATTTATCAAAAAGTTGCAATTTACAACTTTGACGAACATCAATAATTTGATTGTTACTCATGGAATTCATATTTTCCCTTAATAATGTCCATTTTATTGTTAATTTGTCGTATAAATGGATTTTGATGAAAGATGAACTGTCACTCAAAAAAATTTACCCAGAGGTAGCCACTTGAATCGGAGTTGCCATAATATGAAGTTCATTGTCAAAATTTCCATATATAAATTAAGTTTTTATTTTTTTATTTTTTGTCGATGATGATAGTGTTGAGCTTTTTACCCTTATAATTTATGATGAAATATATGCAATTCTCCATCCCACGTACACAGGGCAATTAGCTTACTTGGTCACGAGTTCGTTTAATGGATTGGTTTGGGCTGGGTAACAATCTCTGACCCAATTGCCCTAGAAAAGTTATAACTAGCTCTTAAAATACCCAAGCTCACCAAACAAGTTTTTCACTACCCTTGTGGCACTAGTTCCTGCTGGTGTAATGTTTCATCCTGTCTAAATGATGTACCACAGCTAAATCTTAAACATTAAAAACTGGGGGAAGAGAGATAGAGGATTGTTCCTAATAATATTTAACATGAAAAACAATTTTTTTATAATTCTTATTACAATATAAAAATGTGACTGCAATTAATGCAACTTATACCATTACCCTATTCTTTACACAGTAATAACTTGGAATTAACTCCACAGGAGAAAATAGAGTTCAAACCCCATTATCTAATGTTGTCTATCAAAAAAGAACTTTGTGTCATAGTATGTAGTTCTTATATAGTACATGTGAGCCAAAGTGCTTGAGCAGAAGTTGGGAAGTTGATCCATCATCCCTTCCAGACGCTTGAAGTGCTGCAATGTTATTCCAAATTCAGACGGGAACTCGGTAAGATGGATCAATCATTTTCAAGATGAATAAGTTCCCTTTGTCACCTCTTGATACCCTGTCAAAAGACAAAACAATCATACTTTTAAGTATAACACGGTTCATAGTAACAAAGCAATTTTAAATAGCAAAACTCTCTTTTATTTAGTGATTAACTAACCATTTTTTTGTCAACTAGTAAATACAGTACAAGCATGAACAAGCTTTAGCCTTGATATTGATATTAATATGCATTTAAGATAAATCTAAATTATGATTATTTGCTTATGAACCTTAACCAATAGGCTAATAAAGAAAACTACATATGCAACAGGGGACTGAAAAGGCACATATATAGAAAATGGAACATTAAAATGGTTGGTGCAAACACAAAGAAAAGGCATGAGAATCAGAACTTTGAGACACTGTGAGTTTATTGGCAAGCAAGATGAAGATGTTCAAGTTCTTTTACTTCCTTTCCTTCTTTTCTTCTTCTTCTTTTCTTCTTTCCCTCTTTGGATACAGAAATCCAAGCATGTAATTCTACTAACAACATGTCTTACTACTTACGAGTTGACATTATAAATCTTTTTATGGATAATAAGATTGATAGACTAATGACCACTGTCATCTAAGTCATGAAATCAGTAATGATTATGATAGTTAGTTCCCATCTTTTATCATGGCAATCAGAGAACAGAAACTTAGAAAAGTACTTTCAGGAACGAAGTCGGGCTCAAAAGACAAATCAAGCATGATGCGGTTTATCAATTGAGCAAGGGAAAGCTCATTTGACTCATTTGCATGACTTCGAATTAAGAACTTAACTAGCGCAACACACCTTAGAACTATCAAGTTTCTTCAACACAAACTGTTCTCAGAATATCGGGGTTCCTTCAAACTGACCCTGGCTCAATCCCGTAGAAAATTCCAAAAGGATTCTGAACTCATAGCAGCTATTCAGTATTTTTGGATCATAAGATCGTTGATTGATCCTAATTGGTATTTAAACAATCATATATTCAACCCATGGAAAGAAATTGGGGACGGAAGGTTCCCAACAACTTCTTTTAATCCAAATCATATATTCCATGAGAGGCGTCTTCTCAGTAGACCTTCCATAAAATGTATCTATGATGCATCTTTGATCCCCTATCTATCTCTCAGCAGGTGATTCTAATAATAAAAGTTTGTTTTATTTCTTTTTATGATATTTTTTGGTTCTTATGTAAGAGTTGGTGTTATAAAAGAACTACATATAAAGTGTTTCAATGAGGCCTAAAGCCAATGGATGGCTGTTTCACCTACCTACATTGATATGTCATTCTCATTACGAACTCTAAAGGAATGTTTGGTATATAATGGTAAACTCAATACAAAAACTCACCGCAACTCTTCATCCAAATAAGTTATTTCCAGTTCACCTCGTGCTCTTCCAGGTGCTTTAATAGGAATCTGTACACCACAGTGACATCAATCACGTATGTCAAAAAAATTAATAATAGAGAATTTAGTAAAATGTGCAAATATGTTAGATTTTTTAAGGCATGTGTCACAAGAATGCACAATTTGGAATATAGAAGCTTCACAGGTACCTCTTTTCATCTTTACTATGAAGTATGAACAACATGCAGTACAAAAGATAAAGAGAAACAAAACAGAAGGATGAGAAATCCTTCACAAGGAGTGAAATTCTTTCATTCATTTTCTTAGGAACACATACAAGATTAGTCACTACAAAAAGGATAATGGTAACCCCAACATTAATTAATTCATTTTTATTTCATCTCTTCTTCCATCTGAACGTCCTCATTTAAATAAATCATCTTAGAAGAATGTTATGAAGTAAAACTATCTAAGCATAAACTTCCATTGTATAACTTGAATGAAAACAGATCATTATATGCGAAGGATGATTTTTATGTTAACCTTCCGTCTGGTTCGAGTACATGAAGAATAAACAATTGAGATAGTACCAAATAATTAATTAAGGGGCATTGAATGTGATGAATTAAAAAAATGCTTTAAATCAAGTCATTTTTTTATTTTTTTTCAAAAAAGATTCTACAATCCCCAATATTCAGAAAGAGGTGAATTCAGTGTCTAGGGAGCACAAGCATTTTGCATGGAAGAATTTAAAATGTCATGAACCTAATCAAGAGTTGAAATTTGAAAAAAAATTAAAAATTTGCACTTAAAATGATGATACCAAACCAAACCAACTCTGAGTGCAATAACATTTTATAACCATCCAAGCAATATGTTCTGTGCTCTTATCTGATTGATAAACTTCCACTAAAAGGCACCAAAGGGGCACAACCTATATATATACATACATACATATATATATATATATATATATAGAGAGAGAGAGAGAGAGAGAGAAAATAATACAATACAAGCTGTACCCTCATTTCTCGTAAAAAAAATAAAAAAATAAAAAAAAAAATTCAATCGATGATCTCTTTATTAAAGGGAGCCTAACGTAATGTGCTTCACTTTCAATACTGAACTCACCCCTTCAGAATAAGGTAAACAACATCACTTACCAAGCCTGCAATTTTGAAGAAGTCAAATTTCACAGCCACCTTTTTTGCATTCAAAGGAGTTAGATCTGCTGTTACCTAGAGAAGATTGAAGTGAGATTAACAAGAATATGCTGGTGCAATGCATATCAATGTAGAAGAATGATTTCAAAATCTCATGATACAAACAGAAATTATTTACTTTATATAGTAAATAGCTTTAGATAACTGCCTAGTCCAGCTTGACATGCAGAACTTCTAGAGCCAGAAAAGTATATTAACTTCAGTTCATATGCTTGCTATAAATAGATAGATGACCAAACTCCCTAGTCCATGGTATGGATGACCCTGGAGTGACATAGTATGAAAAATCACACAGGAATTGTTACGAGAACCAGGCTATATCACCCATATGGTTTTGTCATCTTGGACCATCGAGGAATGGTATGGTCCAGTACTCAGGCATGGATGCTGTAATCAACTAAGAACAACCATGGAACCTCTAAAACACCTTCTTTCTATGTTGATTTTTACCTTTTTACTATCCATGCTTCCATAAAATTAATCTTGTTTTTAAGCAGATATACTGGTTGGAAAGATCAAAAATTCAAAATAGGATTCGACTCCATAAACAATGACATTGAAACAACATTTTTCCCGGTGATACAAATTAGATAAGAAAAGAGCTTATTTATAGAACAAATAACAAGGACAGGTAAAATGACCGGAGATGTATATATATATATATGACTGGGGATGGTTTGTGAAACAGTATTTCATAGGTTAACTGGGCTGAAGCACCAACACCTGATCGAGGTGCACGATGAGGGGAATGCAGTATACTTGAATTGTAAATTGTGTTGAAAGAAGTTAATGAGGCTCGAACCCCTATAATATTTTGTACCATAAGTTAAACAACACCTAATATAAGAGTTAATCAAATTACCTGGTTGAAGAACGGCCACGATTCCATATTCTGGGCCCTAAGTGTGTCCACGTTGATTGCTTGGTAATTTGTTCTTGATCTAAGAATTTTTGGTCTCTGTAACATTAATTTGTGAGTAGTTTCAAATTATAAGAGCAAGAAGAAAAAAGGGGAAATGTCCTATTGTAAATATTAACAAATTGATCTGACAACATTACAGGAAATATTAAAGCATCTAATAAGGCCCACAAGAACATAAGAAGAAATTGAAAGCAAGGAGAAACTTTAACTCAAGCAAATACCTGGAGATAACATAAACACAGTAATTCAACCGATACATTTATAATAGATGTTTAGCTTCCACCCTGTTCAGTCTGCCCTTTTACACGACATAGTCAAGGTCAGTTAAGATCAATGATATTAGAGTTTGTATTGTAGTTTCTAATATCCAATAACTGTTTTCACTTGAATTTTGTCATAAATATTTTTTGCTCTATTTTCTATTCAATTCTAGGTTGGCATTTTATATCAGTTAGAGATTACAATGCAGAACCTCGTTCAAATTTCATCCCGTCAGGCTTAATTTTTAAACTTTCTTTGCTCCCTTCTTTTCTTCTAAATGCAGAACCTTCTCATATTAGTTTGCTTGGTGTTCATAAATCTGCTTTCCCTGTATATACACTAGATTGTGAAATTTTCTCCTTGTCTTAATGGAGTTCTTATTAACATCAATAAACAAAAAACGTATTTAACCAATGTTCATTGACAGTGCACACACAAGAGGTTTGTGCACATTAAGCTTTTTTTTTTGGTCCCAATGCACATTAAGCTTCCAATTAATGGACTGTTTAATTTACTGTTTCTATGTTGATGCACATTCATTTCCCCTTACATTTTGTAACATGTAAAAGAAAGATGCAAGATAGGATCATATTAAGCAAATACAAACAAATTTAACAATGCACTCCAATTCAATAATATTAATGTACAGCATCACATATTTTGAAAGACATCAGTATTCTGAAAAGATATGAAATATCCATGAAAAGGAAACAGATGAAAAATTATATCACTTTACCTGTGTCTGCAAAATTGAGCTTGAAGTTGTGTATATAAGTTCCCATTTTCCATCCAGTAAGTTAGATTTGAGGGGCTCTTTTGTTGGATTCACTGCTTCAAGTTTGCGAGCAATCTAATAAAAGATTATTCCAAAGAAAAAAAAAAAAAAGATCGAAAATTAAATATATATCAGGAATCAATGCCACTTCATCTCATTTCAAATGACAACTTATTATACAGTTTTTTTTTTTAAGATCATGGAAACAACAAAACAAGTACCATGATCTTCACAACAAAGGTTATTATTTATGGTAATTGGTAATCTAGCAGAAAATCCATACCTACCAGCCAAGATTTAGAAGTTGATACCACAGAACGATAGCGCCCTCAAGAATGTGAAAGATAAAAGGACACCATGAATTCAATGAAATTATATAATTTGAACAAAGTATCAAAAGGAAAATTTCTAATATATAACTTGAGAATCAACAGAGAGCAAAACATGCATTAGAACTTTGAGAAGCTTGCTTAGTAAATAGCTGCTCAAAACAATGCACTTAAAATGTGGAAGGCTAAAGAGGAGGGGGGGGGGGGGGGGGGGGGGGGGGGGGGGGGGTGGGGTGGTAATGTCTCTCTTTTCATGTAAAGTGAAAAAATAAAAAGAAAAAGGGCCAGCATAGTGCAAGGGGCTCCCGCCATTGAGGGGTCTGGGAAGGGTCATATGTTCGCAGCCTCGCCATAGAAAGGTTGTTTCCAGTTTCGAACCCATGACCTCTAGGTCACGATGGAGCAACCTTATCCTCATTTCAAGTAAACAAAACCCAGTAAAAAAAAGCTCTGGATAGTAAGAGTAAGTCCTGGAGACCACATTTTGCCTCAATAATGAAAAAGTATACGTATCAACCTAGGGTTCTTATCTTCTTGTCAATCAAAACAAGTGCAAGGAATTAATAATTTACGGTCCTAAATTTTGAATTTTGATTGATTGGAATCACAGCCCACCAACTAAGTAAAAACACCAATTTTTGCATTCCCTTTTTATTTAAGCCAATACAAATAACACAAGACACAAAATTAGATTTTCGTAGGTTTTCTTCACAACCCAACAAAGGAAAGAACAACATAAATTACAACAAAATGGGAAAGTCTTGTATTCCAATTTACAATGACAAAAAGATAACAAATATTCAAGAAAAAAAGAGCTGAAATTAAAGGAGCAAGTGTTAAACAAGAAACCCAACCTGATCAATTCTTTGTTGGTCTTCAGGAGTGGCATCGGCACCGCGATCGAGCGGCTCGATGGCCTCAAGAAGCTCTTCTTTAATGGGTTTGGCATCTTTGGGCTTTTTCAAGAAAGTGGGAAAGAAAGAAACATGGGTTCTCCATTTATCAGGAGAGGAGGTGGTGGAGAGGTTGTGGGTGGTGGGTTTGGTTGCAGGGAAAGAGAAGGCGGTGAGTGAGGATTGAGAATGGAGGAGTTTGGGGAGTGATGAGTGTGTGGTGAGGATTGTGTGTGCAGTGTGAGAAGATAAGGCCATGGAAATGGAGTGTTGAGGTGTTTGTTTCCGAGTGGGGTGTGTGACATGTTATCATACAGGAATACTTGCCGGAGTGAGGTGTTTGTTGAGGTGTGTGACATGTTACCATTTGGTATTAGAGTTGGTTGACAAAGTGGTTAATATGAGGGTAAAATGGTAGGATTATTTTATTGTGATTGTTTCAAAATTGAAAGTATTCTCTAAAAATTGAAATTAAAAGTTCTTGCCTACATGATAGTATTGGATATTTGAGCAGTATGTGCATCATACATGTCTATAACTACCTATGACTTACTTTTTAGATAAGTTCAATACACAGTGTGCACTTAGTATACTCAATATTTTTTATTTGTTTACATAATTTCAATATTTATTACCGAATTGTGAAAAAATATTCTGACCTTCCACATGTCGGTTTCTTAAGTAAGAATTGAAGCTGAAAACTCAAATTTATGGAGAATTATTAGTCATCCAATTACAATCCCAACCTCATGTATACTTAAATAAGAGGTTATTGTTATCGAGACAAAATAATGTTTTTCACATGTTGCAGTGAATAGAATGGAAAGCCAATTTTTTTTTTTTTCAAAATAAAATATGTAACAATTTGAAGTCAGAAATTTAAACTTTTCATAAGAGAACATCAAAGGAACTTTTACCAAGTGAATTGTGAAGATCTCCCTCGTATACACGAGTTGGACTTTCTGTCAAAAAAATATCCCGTGGAGCCTCGTAGCTTCCCAGGTAAAAGGGTAAAATTGTGAGTATATAGGACTTTAGTTATTAAAAAATAAATAATTATAACAATAAAAAAATTAAATAATTAAAAATAAGACTGATAAACAAGAAAATAAAAAGTCAAATTGGGTGTATGCGTTATTTTCACACTATTTGTGCCCTTAAAAACAACATCATCGTCCAATAATTAATCTCCCAAAATTAAAAGGTGCAAAGTGGGCGTATGCCCTTATTTTTTGAAAAAAAAAAAAGGAGAGAGACAAAAGGATACAAAATCCCAAACGAGTCCAACCAACAATGCTACAAATTACATCATCTTCTTAAGTTGTTGCCACTCCAATCAGAATATTCAATCTCCACCCTCGGATTAAGACTAAAAAATAAAAATCATCAAATCAAGACCGTTTATCCTCATCGTCATGATCATCCTTCCTCCTCTTCCTCCTAGCATAGTTCTTAGTATGAAAGTCAATGAAAAGCGCCAAAAGCGAAGCGTTGAAAGCCGCATTGAAGCACCAACCCCACATCCCGGAGCACCCTAATCCGGTGAAATGGTAGTACAGCATCAAACCCGACACCGCAAAGCTAAACACGAACTGCCCAATCTGACAGTCTGTCACCAACCTCTTCCACCACGGACGCCTCCCCATGGCGCACAATAGATAGTAGGCGTACATTAGCGTGTGAACCGAGGCATTGGTAACGAGCGCCACGGGGAACAGGGACTGCGAAGTAGACAGCCAAAAATAACACATCACCACCACCACCGCGTGGTGGTACACGTGGAGGAAGGAGAGCCGTCTGATGCTCCCACCCAGGATGATCAGGAGGGTGTCGACGAATTCGACGATTTTGGAGAGGTAGAAGACGTAGGCCCAGAAGAAGATGGGCCCACTGGGGGGTGTTTGGTTGCGGGGGAAGCAGAAGATCCAACGGTGGTGAGGCATTTGGGAGAGGGTGGAGAGGGAGCCGCCGACGGCCATGATGAGGGAAAGGAGGAGGATGAGGAGGTTGTGGGCGGCGGAGATGAGGCGGAGGAGTGTGGGTGGGAGAGGAGGGAGGTGGAGGTGGTATAGAGAGAGAGTTAGAGAGAGATAGGTGAGGATGGTGAGGGCTAGGAAGGTTGGGGAGGAGCCCCAAGTGTTGCCTGGGGACCACTCGAAGTGGGTTATTGTTGGGTGGTCGACTAACCAGTAGTGGAGATTGGAGGAGATGAAGTCCATCGTGTTCGACACGCGCCGCCGTAGAGAGAGAGGGGAGAGAGTTTTTTTTTTGTCTTCCACCAAGTCTCCAAGATAGGGTGATGCATTCAAATTTTTTTGTATAATCGATGTGGGTGTGCTACCACCACTGAATTATTCCAACGGTCCAAAATCCTCTTATATATCCTTATATATGTATACACACATTAGTATATAAATACTTCTATAATAACATCACAAATGATCAATCCTTCTTTATTTTTTTAAAGAAATTCATATAATATAATTCAAAATAACTCTGACAGTCAATTATTTTTGTGTCATCAAGGGCCATTTAGTTTATTTATTTTTGAAAATTTTCAACATTGACAATAAAACAACAGTTTAAGAAAAGGTTAATTTTTTTATTTTTATAATTCATCCCACAAGCTACGTGTGCCTCTAAGTCCGGTAACAACACCCACACAAGCTGTGTGCGCCGCTAAGTCCGGTAGAATACCCGTGTGAATGATAACCCTTCCTATGCTGGAAAAGTTTTGATGGTGAGATTCACGATATTAGTATTACTCTTTGGCTTCGTTTGGATTGATGGAATTGAAAGGAAAAGTTATTGAAAAATGCTTCATTTCTTTTTTCTTTTGAAGGCTTCAACGATTATACCAAATGGGCCATGTATGATTGAAATTCTCTAATTTTTTTTCTTTTTTAATCGATTCTCAGCAGAATTTTGAGATTCTCTAAATTTCTGTTGCACTTCTCTAAATTTATTAAACTTCTATATTGACAAGCATGCTTAACCTCAGAAAGAAAATGGTGACTTCTATCTTTGTTTAACTCATTTTTTTGTAAAACCCTAAATTGTTCTCATGAAATCTAGGCATTTGTTTCAATTACCTAAAATTCCATAAAAACCTCCCTTGGAAGATGAAAGAACAAGTCATTTTAAAATTTTCATATTGTCAAACAAATCATATACTAGTAAAACACAACTCTTTTTCCTGCTTTTAAAAACAAAACCATCTGGATACAATTCTCAACGGATAATCTACTTGACAAAGAATTCAGATGAATGCAATCCAAAATACAGTACTTTCATATCGTCAAAACAATAATCTACTAAAAACTATGAGGAAATGAAGGGGGTAAAAAAAATAAAAATAAAAATAAAAATAAAAAATCTTCCCGGATATTTTCTCATTACAGTTGAACAACACGTGCCTAATGATGAACCTCTACCTAGGATTATCATCGAACATCTCTCAGCTGCTTTTAGTTCATGGGTTATGGAGCAAGTCTAGGTCAAATCATCAGGCAGCAAAAATGAACATTTGATGGTAACTACATGTAGACTAGCTATGTTCAACTCGTCGCCACCTTTTTCCTGACAATTCTCTTTCTCCTAGCCTTAGGAGGTGGTGCCTCCCCCGCGGCAACAGAATCGGTCTGCCCCTGTTTGATGCCAAGAAGACCAAGCCCAGAAACAATGGCATTCTTGGATATGAACCAATTTGAAGAAGGCTGAGCAACTGCCTCGGACGGCCTGTTGTAAGCCTTCAAAAGATCATCTGACTGAGCCAGTGGATCCACCTCCACTCCAAGCCAAGCCCGCCTTAATGTCTCTCCTAACTGAACGTTTGAAATCCTGCACATGTTAAAGAAAAACATCAAATAACAATGCATTATTATCAAGTGGTCCACAGAAGTCGAGAGAAAATGCATGTAGCAATTTGTATGTCAGAACTTTGGCCAAAGCAATTTGCACGATTTATCAAAGAATTGCCAAATATGCATCTCTCCAACATTTCCATCAAGGGTGTGCAAAACCACTCTGAAATCCGGATTGCCTTGAATATTCTACAACAGCAATAGATTGTTCATTTTATAGGTCGAAGCAATAACCCAAGAGAATCCTACTGATACTGAATTAGGAGGTCAAGTCAATATGACGAGTGATACAAAATTGAGAGAGTTAAATGAGAACGTATTAGGACTGAGGATATAGAATACAATATAAAACCATCTCAACGAAAATGGTAAACCAGTTAAATGAGTTGAAACTTTTAACAATATAAGCACAATCACGGAGCATAAATGGTTAAAAAGCTGAAAAGAAATATATAAGTGAAAACCTGCTAAAAATTGTAACAAACAGATGCGCAAAAGAATAGTATAGAGAGAAACACGGACCTCATGGCCGTGCTAAAAATTAGTGCCACTCCGATAACATCAAAATGGTTCATCATTGTTCTATCAATTCCACATAAAAGCTGATTAAACAGGTTTTTGGATAGACCAACAAAGGCTCCATAACCAAGCGCATTACTACTCACAGTTGGAATTGTCACGGATAACCTGCCAAAGTAATGATTCAGAGTTTACTTTCAGGATGATTGGTCTGGAAAAATAAAGGCACATGTTGAAATGGAAAGAAACAATTAGTAAATAAAAGAGAAACATGCTTAAAAGAAATTGTTTACCTTCCCTCCTTTTTACTGGCAGAAAGTTTTGACAAACCACCTTGAGCTGCTCCAGCTACAACTCCAACCATACACAGCTCTGCAGCCTTGTAGAAGAAAGAGTGGATTCTCTTTTGCAAGTCAAATTCTCTAAGTGGATAACTCTTCTCAAAAATGTTGTTTGGGAGCTTTTGCAATGTGTTCTGCAAATCAAATCGAAACGTATTCCCATATGAACGACAGGGGGCAAGCGACCAAACAACAATTGCATTGCATGCTGTCACTGTGAGAACATTCATGAGTGCAAGATCCCATTCCTGCTTTATCCTACAATAAGGTAAAACATTCATTAATAAGCCTTAAATATCAAAGAATTTGGATCATAGATATATAGAAAGTATATACCTCTCTTTGCGACTTCTCAACTCCCACCAAACAGAACAACCAATTGTAGCAGCCTGCTCGAGAAGGAGCTTATATAAAAATGCAGGATCTGCGATCATCCTGCAAATATAAAGATGAATACAACAGAAATCAGTTGATTGCTAAAAGATCATGTTAAATGTGCACTCAAACAAGTTAGCAAATTAGCAATTTACTGCCGAAGATACTATTAAAGAACTGGGACATGTCTCAATTATACAAATGGGATACACATCTTAAACAACATGCACCTATTAATAATTTCCAAATTCCCAATGCTTCAAAAGTTAAAAGGCAGAGACTAAACTTCATATCTGACACTTTTTCTTTAATAATATTTATTGTTTTACGTGGGAGATTGGAGTTATTCTTTCTCAAGTAATTTCAATATCCATTATAAGCTCCATACCTCATATGGACATATGAAATTGCCATTTTCCAAAACTAATAAGATTTAAAATCTTTTGAACATCCTTACAACCAAATAAGAAAATCTAATATCCTACAACGGCTTCCTTCATTGATAAGATCTCCTATGACACTGGCGCAAAATTGAATATTTTCACAGTGATTACAGCTAGGCAGTTGAAATTTGACACTTCCTGGTTTACTCCTCAGTGTAGCTGTTCGTGCATATGATGAAACCACTCGTGTTTGTATCAGGCAAATCTCGCTGAAATAAATAGCTTCTTGAAAAATTTCTTATATCTTACTGCCCATGAAACAGAACTCATAATGACAGACATCACTGGGAGAAGCCAATTTTCAAACCTGCTTCTCACCCAAGCCTCACCAACTGGTGTCTGTAACTCATTATGTACAGTATTAATCAAATGACTCCCTATGTACCAAGTGCCCCCTCATGGGACACTATTTAATTTTATATGTTCTTTACATCTAAATAATCTATTAATTCCTTCCTACTCTACCTATTCTTTCAATAGATAAAAGGAAATTAATACAGAGTACAAAACTTTTGCACACACATCATATAAACACATACAAAAAAATAAAAAATAAAAAAATAAAGGAAGAAGAAACAAAACAAAGACCATATACTGATCTCTCCCAAAACAAACTACAGAAGAATTATCCAAATACTAAGGCCTTCCCCTAAGCCAAATACAAGGAAGACAACGACATATGTCCAAATCTCAAAACTGGCAACCCATCTATCTGAGATACTATTACAGGAGAACTGAGACAGTATTAATTATACAAATGTGATATGCATCTTAATTTCTTAAATCGTTCTGGTAGGGATATTAAAGGAGGGACCCATCTATCTTTAATACTTTGTCACTTAAGAGTAAAATGCATAACCAACATGCACCTATTGATAACTTGCAAGGCTTGAAAAGTTAAATGGCAAAGACTAACTTCATATCTGACACTTTTTTTTTTTTTTGTTAAGTACCATATCTGACACTTTTTATTCAATAATATATATATACATACATATATTTTAGGAGAGATTAAAGTTATTATTTCCCAGGTAATTTCAATATCCATTATAAGTTCCATACATAATCTCTCCACCCTAATATGTACATATGAAATTGCCATTTTCCAAAACTAATAAGATTTAAAATATTTGAAACATCCTTACAACCAAAAAAGAAAATCTAGCATCCTACAACAGCTTCTTTAGTGACGAGCTCCTATGGCACCAGTACAAAATTAAATATTTTCACAGTGATTACAGCTAGGCAGTTGAAATTTGACCCCCCTTGGTTTACTTCTCACTGTAGCTGTTTGTGCATATGATGGAACCACTTGGTCTTTAAATCAGGCAAATCTCGCCGAAATATAAAGCTTCTTGAAAAATATCTTTTTAAATCTTACAGCTTATGAAACAAAACCCATAATTATAGACACCACTGAGAGAAGCCAAACTTCAAATCTGGTTCTCAGCCTAGCCTCGAAAACTGGATTCTATAACTCATTGTCATTTACAGTTTTAATCAAATGACTCCATATGTACCTAGTGCCTCCTCATGGGGCACTATTCAATTTAAATGTTCTTTAAATCTAAATAGTCTACTTCCTTCCTAGTCTACCTATTCTTTCACTAGATAAAAGAAAATCAATACAGAGCACACAACTCGTGTGCGCACATCATATAAACATATACAAAAACAAAATACAGAAGAATTATCCAAATACTAAGGTCTTCCCGTAAGCCAAATACAAGGAAGACAACAACATGGGTCCAAATCTCAAAACTGGCAACCCCACCCCTTCAAACATTCACATTTTTCTCTCATTACATGGCATCAAAGGCACAACAGGCTGCTTGCTACACTGGTTTGACTTTCTTTTTCACTCTATATCCTGCCAAGTACTCAAAGCTTCCATAGTTGTTCCAGACATGACTAAGTGAATCCCGAGAGAGAGAGAGAGAGAATGAGAGAAAATAGTAAATGACCAACAATTTCTTCATTGAATGCAACCCTTTGAAAATTGACAAAATCAAGTCTTGTTATTGACTGCAACCTTATACAGGTCTAAAGCTATCACTTTAAAGTGCCATCCTCCCACCAATGGTCATGCGAAAATCTGACCCTTGGCAGTTCCCACAACAAATCTTTCCTAGTCTATTAGGTCAGAGGTTTCTATAATAATTGTACAAAAGTGGTGATGCTAACCTCTTCAGAGAAAATTTAAAAAGGAAAGACAGAAAAGAAAGAAATATTCCCTAAATGAATGGAAATGTAAAAGAACAAAGAAAATTCTGAACATACCCTCTGGAGTAAAATAGGAAAAACAAATAACAAAAATAGGAGAGAGGAGAAAAAGATGTTCAATATAACATAATATGGAGCACGAATTTTAATATTTAAGTAATTGCCAAGTATTTAGAAAGACGAATTTGTAATTTTAGCACAAAATCACACACGGAGAATGCACATAAAGAATGATAGAACTTAAAGAAGTCAATTGATAAATCCTTTGAATATGGCAGCTCTCTATTAAACTTACCTGCCAATGAATGCCCTAGATATCCCTTGAGGAAGTGCTCGAGAAATAAACCTAGCAGTGGTTGGCCTCGCATTGATTGCTAGAAATCTTACCATTTGAGCTGAGCTGATCAAACCCTGAATAGAATATCACACATCAGAATCCAGCCTCAAAATCCCCATAAAGCAGTGTAGAACACGAAAAACACTTTACCATTTCATAGGCTTGTCGGAGTCCAGCAGGCAGGTCCATCATTGACCTCTGCCACTCATTCAATACCGCATCAACAAATTTTCGATCAAAAAGCTGGCAGAAAGTTCACTAAAATCATCATTTGGAACTAATACTATTAAGTGAAACACATTTGAAGAGAAGAAAAAAGTTTAATCTCTAGGAAATTTGAATTTGTGCTTTAACATGGATAAGTTTGTCAACCTCTTGAAGAACAATCCGCCTCCTAAACAGTCCGCCCTCATCGCCATCATCACCTTCATCAAAGTCATCAAAGTAATCATCGTCGTCACCATCATCATCACCTCCGTCACCACCACCAAAATTGATTCTTTTGCCAATGTCACCACCGCCTCCCCCAATTGCAGTCTGCGATATCACAAAAAGATGAGCCAATATCCCAGGATTCAGAATGGTCTAACAGGGAACCAATGGGATAAACCAAGTCAAGCATAGTGAAGTTCAATTACTAAACAAAAGAACAAATTTAAACCTGAGTAATCAAACTTCTATGAGCACCTATTTCTTGCCCTCACAACTCACAAGGATTTAAATGGGACCCACCTATATATGGTTAACCACCTTCTTTAGCACTTTTAAACAGGTAGAGACATTTGTTTGAAAAATATCCTAGTGACCATTAGATAATCAAAATAGTCTCTTTTTTTTTTTTTGATAAGTAATAATCAAAATAGTCTTGAATGATTCCTTTTCACTTTTCAGAATTGACAAACTTCTAATTGAGTCTTATACGATGGTTCCACACCAGCAAACTCATTTGGCATCCAGCAATAGTATTTACTATTCTAAGATCCATCATTAGCATCCTAGAGGATGAGACTCATGCATATTGTTCAATAAATCAATAGTTGAATGCATCTCTCACTTTATATCTCACACATGTTACTCAAGCCAAGCAGTATAAAAGAACTTCAGAACAACATGAACTTTGTAATGGTCTTAAGACAATAATACAGTTTAGTTGTACAAAAACATACGAAAAAGAAAAGAAACCACTGATAAATATTAGACCCGACTAACATAGATTCGGTTGTATGTTGGGTGATGCTGTGTCCAATGACTCCAATTATTGAACTAAATATTCATATAACATTTCTCTATCACATGTTGGGGTGAAATATATTTTAATATAACAAGTAGAATTTCACATACACTTAACCCACTTTCAAAACAATAACATGACAAAAGAAACATAATAAGATAGTTTTATGTACAATTAATTGAATTACCGGATATACTAGTTAGGTACATGTCTAACCAAGCGTGTCTAACAAATAACTCATCCTTAAGTCCGAGTGTTGCGTGTTCGACACAAGTACCTTTGTTTTTTGAAGAGTCTGTGCAATATAGTATTAAACCACGAATGTAAATCAATCAGCAATGTAATAACTGTATACCTAGGCCTGATTGACCATGGTCATGATAAGTGTGATTAAAGACAAGTAAAATCAGGCAATTTTTCGTCTAGGTTTTTTTTTTTTTTTTTTTTTTTGTCATTTATTTTGATCATTCAATTCAACAAAGCTTTTCCCAGACTAGATGGGATCAGATGCCTGAATCATATTTCATACATTCTACTCTATATCTAAGACCATAACCATAATCAAAATACACAGTGTTGTATATTTCCTAACACTACTCATATTAATTTTGGTCTTCACCTTCTCCTAACAATACCCTCATGTAAACCATGTTATTCTCCCTACCTAGTGCACTTGGTGATCTTCTTTATACATATACAAACCATCTTAATTGTTTTACTTTCATTTGATCTCAAATGGGTTACTTCAACCATTCATTTCTAATTCTATCCTTTTTTTTACCTTGCCGCACATTCATCTCAACATTCTCATTTACCCCCAACACTCTTTATACATATGTTGTTTCTTAACTACCCAACATTCTGCCGTATAAAATATCCCCAGTAAGCATTACAATGAAACTACAGATGCAGTAAAAAAAAAAAGGCATCCGAAGACAATTTTAAGACAATCTTGCAACTTACAGAATATAGGGGTTGTCAAGTAATAGCATTCATGCACTATCATACACACAAAATGAACTTATTGCTCTAATAGTTAAGCCAAGTAAGCGAGGAAACTATTATTCAACTCGTAAAAGCCCAAACTTCTGTTTGGTTACTGAGACAATTGGGGGAAAAAATATGAGGAAAACAACATTGTCAGCCATAATTTCAATATCTCCAGGATAAGAAAGTAGCCACCGCAAATAACCAAAAATTCACATTAGGCACAAGTCATTCCAATTCAGAATTTCGTATGATTTCCTTCAGTTTCTAAGAAACCAAACGGAGTATAAACAAAAATTTCAGAAGAATACAGACCTCAGGACTGGACCTCATTTGCTGCTTCTGCGACGTATCGAGCTTTGACTTCTCAAGAGTGACCGTACCGAAAGCACCATACTCTCCCTTCATAACCGGACTGTACATCACCGACGACGAAGAAGCAGTCGACGACGACGACGATGAATCAGACGGTGGGGATTCTCTGAAGCAGCGTTCCAATCCAGCTATGGAATCTCCGTCAACCACCGCCGGCGACGAAGCCTTCACCACAAAACATTTATGGACCTTGACGGAGGCGATAAGAGGCACCGGCGGCCGGAAAACTGGCTTGAATGGGGGAAAGAGGGGCTTTGCTGATAAGGTTTTGGTGGTTGGGATGATCTGAGTGTTGATGGGCATCATTAGGGCCGTTTGGAATACTGCGTGAGACATGTTTAATTTTCTTGTTTGGATAGAGAGAAAATTTTGTTCAGATTTTCATGGTAGAAGGGAGAAACCAAGGAAAAGGGCGCTGCGAGTTTTGGGTTTGGTTTTGCTTCTCTCTCTTTGTGATTTAGAGAGAGAAAGTAGAGAGAGAGAAATTTAGATTGGGATTGGGCTTTTGATGGAGATGGAGGATGGCCGACTAACGACAAACCGATCCGGAATAGTTACACCAGGTGAGTTGACTCGGGATTTGGATCCGTCGACTCAGCCGGCCCTACTTGAGGCGACTCGGTTTACCAAAGCGCTCACCGGCTGGTCTTCAAACGTACTATTTGGTTTGGTAGGGTATTACATTACGGTTAGTTGCCTAATTATTTAAAAATAAATATAAAAAAAAAAAAAATCAATTGCAATGATTGGATTATGAGTGTTCCTTTCTTTTTTCTGTCAAAAAAAAAAAAAAAAAAGTTCTATTCCTTTTATTTATATGGACTAATCTAACATCATCTTACCCATGCACAACTAATAGATTGAAAAAAAAAAAAAAAAAAAACAAAACACAAACAAATATCATGAAGTTTTATTAATTTGTCGACTATCCAATTCATTTATTAAAATTAAGGTAGTACAAATTTATGTATAGACATTTTAGAATATATAAAAATAATAAAATTTTAATATAGTTAATTCTCATAAGAATTGGTGAAAGTTTTTTTTACTGTCATTTTAAAATATATAAAAAAATAAAATTTTAATATAGTTAATTCTCATAAGAATTGGTGAAAGTTTTTTTACTGTCATGAGTCTCATGGGCCCAGCTAATTGTTTTGTTTGACTTTTTGACTCGAAAATATTGTTAGAACTCAAGTTTAAAACACTAACCATCTCATATCCAACGTGAACCATTTATTACTTGATTTTTTTTCTTAACCATCTTTTCATATAAAAATTGAATTTCATTAACAGAGATTTAAGTTAGGGGAAAAAAATTACAGAGATATTGAAATTAAAATTGAAATATGAAAATAATTACGACCACAGATAAAAATGTAAAATATGTTTTAATTAAAACTTCTAACACCTGGATAGATTTTATACCTGTTGATAATTAAATTTTGATCCAAATTTAGTGGTATACCTAGGAATTTGGGGGTGGCAATTCGTGTTCGTGGATGGTGTTCATGTCATGTCGTATTATACTAAATAGGTAAACCCAAATCTAATCCATTTAATAATCGTGTCAATAATTCTCAACACTAACCCAACCTGTTTATTAAACAGATAAACGTGTTAACCCGTTTAATGACTTGTTTATCAAAACGAGATATTTAATATTTAATCAAATACTAAATAATAGAAAAAAATTGTCATAATTAACCCAAATATTTAAAATAAAAAATATATATATATATATATATATATATATATATATATATCACAAGGCACAAACAAGGTTTATGTTGAAATGGCTTAACTACCCATAGTAATTGGGTTTAAAGAGGTAACATATTATATATGTCATATTTACGATTATAACATGTCGAGTTAAATGAATCAAAAACAGGTTACACGAATTAAACCATTCAACTCTAACCCGATACGGTTTAGTAAACGAGTTAATTGTGTCGATCCTTTTATGACACAAACTCATTCATGCTAAATCCAAATTCTTTTAACTCATGTCGTGTTCATATTGTATTGTCATGTCGTGTTATAATTTGCCACTCTACTTATGATTGAAATATTAAACTCGATAACTTGTTAATTATTTGAATTTGATAATCCATTAACTAAAATCCATTAACTAAACATACCGAATGTGCATTATAGTAATATAAAACATGCTATAAATATATTATTAAATGTTATAATATATAATATTTACATATTATAAATAAATTTATCATTATTTTTTTCTTCTTTTTCCCTCTTGGCATTTTTCTTCAACAAAGAATCAAGTATCCAGGGCTTTTTTTTTTTTTTTTTTAATCATTTGTTATTCAACCTATTTGACTTCTCCTTTTCTTTTCTTTTTTTTTTTCCCCCTTTTTTTTTTATCATTGTTTGTCAATCTCTTTGGAAATTATTTCTTCAGAATATATACTTACAAGTCGGATTATCAGCTTAGATATCATATTACTAACAAATGAAATATAGATTTATTTATTTATTTCGGAAAATCAAGCAAACTATATACAGTATAAGATATTACAAAGTGAAAACTTCATAAAACCCCCCTTTAACTTTTAATTTTTGGCAAGAAACCCCTCTGAAGGATAAAGTTAACATAAAATCCTCATAAGTATAATATGAAATGCCCTTTAATGTAAATTTAAGAAAATTTAGGCGGTCTTAAATTATTTCATTTTAGATATTTTTTAAAAAATAAAAACAATAAGAAAATTAAAAATTATTCCAAAATATTTTCATTTTCTTATAGATGCACCATTAAAAAAAAAATTGATTTTCTTTTAACACCACTATACCGAATTAGTTATTTGTATTAATTTTAATTTTATATTAAGATAAATAATTTTTTTAAATTTATATTAAGGGACATTTTTGTCATAATAACATCACTTCACAGTAAATTAAATATATAGGGGGGTTTTATGCTAACTTTTTTTATAGGAGTTTTTTTTTTTTTTTTTTTTTTTTTTTTTGGTCATAATTTGAATTTAGAAGGGGGTTTTATTCAATTTGCCCTACTATAGTACATGATGGGCTTAATCATTAACATTACAAAGGCCCATGAATGGAAGCACCATCTACAAACAAAAGAGACTTGTAGTCCAAACAAAGGGTGTTTAGCCTATTACAAAACAAGAATCATTTTTCAACCCATTCAAAAAACTAGCTTGGCCCAAGCCCAACTATTGAGAATCTAAAGAAACATGACCCTTTTATTAATTAATGGTCGGATCCGGAAAGTATGACTGCATTACTTGGGGTTCAATGCCAAAAAAATATTATTAGATAGTCTGGACGATTAACACTTGATGAATTAGTTTAGAATTTCGAATGGAAAAAATGATCTCACAAGAGTGTGTTAATTTATTACTATAAAAAATAAAATAAAAATTCTTAATATTAATTTTTTTATTGAATTAGTCCATCAGGTGTCAAATGAACTAAAACCATTTAATAATTTCTCGTACAACACTATGAATACCCATGAGGTATTGTACATTTCACTGTTTATCTGCATATCATCTCATGCCCATCCTTTTATTTGTTAAAAGGAGACAGGATGGACTAGGGAAAGAAATTAGGGTTATACAAATTTCACCTTCTAATACAAAATTAGGAATTCATATCATACATTCTGATTCATGCAGATTGTATATATGTGTGGGTGTGCGGGTTTATATGTATATATATAAATGTATGAAAGCTTTCTAGCTAGCTCAATCCTATTTATAAGGTCCACACGAGATTGAATATCAAACTATAATATACTCATTGATTGATAGGAAATATAAATTATATTTGAGATTATTAAATTAAATACATGCTACAACAAAGTTGTACATGTTGAATTTTTGCACTGATACAGCATACTACGAGCCTCTAAAAACAATTGTGTAAATGCTGTAATGGTCCCCTAGATGAGAGTCCTTAAAAACAGTTATGCACACTAACATGGTCTATGAGTGAGAGAGTTCCTACAAATTAATCACCCAAAAATAGCCACATAAAAGACTTGGGAGGAAAAATATATTTTCTTTTTGACTAGCAAATGTTGTGTTCTAGTAGTATTTTTATTTATTTATTTTTTCAGAAGGTCAAACAAATTGTGATCTAAGAGAATTTTCCTTGTACTTTTAAATGCAAAATTGAAGCTTTATGTTTTTTCAACCAAATCCAAATCCAAATACAACGGTAAAATTATGTAGAAATTGATCACGCTAAGACTAGTGTGCTCCAAATAAAAATATACTTTAGTTTTGTTTGCAACTCTTATCAAATGGACCTATATAAATAGGTATGTGCACACATGCCACAAATATTGGTAATAAGAGGTGTGGCACTACTGGGGAAACATATAGATTCGATCAATGGTACATCTAGATGATATATATATATGCAGATAAGTGAGGGGGAAGGTGGGCCTTGGAGCCGTTTTTTATAGTGAGAAGGAAGGTGTCCTTGGAGCCGTTTTTTATACATGCAACATTGCATGCAATGATCGGTGAAATAATTTTTATTTGATTATTATAATAATAATAACAGTGAAATAATTTTTATTGGATTATTATAATAATAATAATTATTATTATTTTTTGGCACAAACATTAGTCAATCAAGCTCTCCAGAAGGAATGGGACATCTTCTAGGTCACGCGTATCACGTTGAACCATCTTATATTTTTCTATAATATTCTACTACTTGCATCACATATATTTTCCTTGTCATAAAGTTCATCCTTATTGGTTGTCCACCTGAAGGGCTGGCAGGTATGTCTGCATGCTAGTCTAAAGGGTTGTTTCCATATCCCCATGAATTGAATGATCTCATTTACTTTACAATGATTTAAAGGTCGAAATTCATCATCTAAAATAGACCTTTTCAGAAAAATGAGTCATTTTAGATATGATTTTTAAAATCATAAATTTGTTGTAGGAAGAAAAATGGTATGTTTGTTTTTATTTTATTTTATTTTACTTTAATGAATGATAGCACTTGGTGATGATGTATTCCATCTAAAATGTTTGAGCCTTCTTACTTAGCCGAAGAATAAAGGTGAATTGCCTGGCATACAAAATAATTTTGATTAGTCATGTTTGCAATATGTAAAAAAGGGATAGGGATTGCAGTAGGTCCCATTTTTAATATTTTGCGACCAATCAAAATTTTAGAAAGTAAAATCACTTTTAAGAATTCGGTCTTAAAATAATTTTCCAATATATATATATATATATATATATATATATATATATAATATGTAATGACTTTATTTTTAACTGAAATCCTATTTTGCAGTTAACTTGATAAAAAGGGCCAAGGACTAATCAATTCTTGATCAGCTGGGTGGACTTCAGGTTTTGGAAAGGTTTTTGATTGAAGAAGCCTCCGAAAAAAAAAAAAAAAAATGTTCCATATTTTAACTATTTACCACTATGATTACCATTATATACGAGGGTGGATGTAGGGATGGGTTTGAGTCCATTTTAAAAAAATATATTTTTTACTATACTAATTTTAACCCCAGTCAGAAAAAAAATAAAATAAAAATAAAATTAACCTATTTAATCAAACCCAAGTCAACTCAGCCATCATATTAAAATAAAGACCAAAACCAAATAAGTCCAAGGCAGGTCCTGACCGAAGACGACAAAGGTGGTTGCATACCTCAAAATTTATAGGCCCATGGATGGTGGGTCACCAAAAAAAACAAAATATTTTTAGGGCAACCATCTCTACTCTCGTTCTCTACTTTGACCGGTTACTTGTTTTTAGGGCAAATCATCTCAGCCCCCCCAATCGCCTCCTCTTTATTCTCGTTCTCAACTCTGAACTTTTCAAAACCCATATCGGCGTATCACTTCAGATTGTTCAAAAAATCAAAACCAATATCTTTCAGTTTCCATCGCCCGCTGTTCCAGTTCGGGTTCACCGTTAGCGAGCTTCAGCCGCTGGCCCGCTGTCTCTCAACTCTCAAGCTTGTCCCCTCTCTCTCTGCAACTGCTAACTTGTATGTATGAGTTTTGTTTTAATTTTTTTTTTTTTCTAAATCAACTAATCAAGGTCTGTAATTCTTGTTTTGCAAACTAAATCCTATTTGGTGAAATTTTTTATGATCTTTTTTTAAATAATTTTTATTTTTACAATATAAAGTAAAAAAATTTGCATTGTAATCACCGTAATCTACATTTTATTTCAGCAAAACAAATATTTTTATTTATTTATTTCTATAACTTCTATTTTTTTTTTTAGTTTTTATTTTTTTGTGTTGTCAATTATATCTACAAGAAAATTTGAAAAAAAAAAAAAAAGAATCTGAATTGGATTAGAAATCTGCAGAGATTGAATCTGAAACAATTTTTATCAACATGCCAAGCTTTTTGAAGATGGAAATCTTTTCAGAACTTAAAAAAATAATAATAACAAGAACTTTTACAAGCAAAAGTACTTAATATAGGGTAAAGCTCTAACGTTACTTCTTGAAAATTAAAATACTTACAAAAAGCATGCTTTTGAGTGAATTCCATAGTGTTGGAAGGGGCTTGCCATGAACTACCTCACTCTCTGCTTCCACTAGTAGATTCTCAAATAGGATTAGTAAATTGGTCAAAAGAAGAGATAGGTTACTGAATGCTGAATTGTTCAGAAATAAATTGGTAATTTTTTTATTTATTAATTACCCAAATAGGATTTTCTATGCCTTAATCAGTCAATTGTCTAAAAAAACATTGTTAGTTAACTAAAATTAAATTAAACAATAGTTGATTTTGGTTGATATATTTTGATTTAGCCCACCCCATTGAGAAATCCTGGATGTTTTGTTTCACATAGAAATATAATTTGTGTAATGCACGAAGGATATATTCAATCTTTCTGCCATATTTTTATTTTCAAATTTTGGTTTTTGATTTTCTTTTGTTATTAGATGCAGAATATCAGGATATTGATTTGTTAATTTTGAAGAGTATTCCTAAATTGATGCATTGTACTTTGTTATTGGATTAATTTAACATAAGAGCTGAGCATAATATGTGCTAATCACACCTATCCTTAATCACACCTATTTCTATGGATAGGTGTCCAACATTTTGACTGAAAGCATAGTTGGGTTGATACATGATACATATAGTACTTAGATGGTGGTGTTTTAATTGTTATGAGTGAGATTGTGAAATCTCTTCCTCACAACTTGGTGTTTTCTTATTTTTAGGGTCAGCATCGGGCCTTAAAATTTATCAAGAATAAGGTTCAAGAAACATGCCTCCTCAGTCATCAGGTAACAAACTCTTACTTTTTCTAAAATTTTAATTGGCATTTTTAGCTATTGGTTACGTTTATTTATTTATTTTTTACATACTGATTTTTTGTTTTTGTTTCTACATACATATATATAATATTGTTATGATGTGATGCTCGAACAATTTATTAATGGCAATTAAACACTTGGAAGTTTAGTTTTCAATCTCAGAATATATGTTTTACAAGTTTATTGATGCTTTTAAAACTTTTCCTCTTTTGTCCTAATAATATAGGTCTCTTTTTTGAAAGAAGAGAGTTGATGGGAATGGGTAGAGTTGGCAAAAAGAAAATAGGTATGTTTTTATTGCCTAGCTAATTGAATTATTTAAATCCCCTTATCGTTGTAGCAGTGATGTTGGTTTTAAAATTACCAATTATGATAGGAAGTCTTTTTTCAGTTTATTTTAATCAAATGTATATTTATGCAAGAGGATTGCGTGATTCTAAATGACGATTCTAGATGAGGATGTTAATGTCAACGTTATGAGGATGTTGATGTCAACGTTGACTCTAACAATGACGACTGATAATGTTGATAATATGTTGATGCACTCAAATTAAGTCAAAACACTTATAATTGAAGGAAATTTAGAGTTGAAGACATACTATTGAGCATAGTGTCTAATTCTTTTAGTTACAAGAATCTTTGGTCATTGTACACATGATTTTTCAGTTTCTCAAATTCTGAAACACTGGTGTGTAATATGATTCATCTACTTGGGCTCTCTTCTTTTTCATCTCTCTAAACCCTAATTTTATATGTGAAAAAGAAAAAGAAGATTATATGCAATTTTAATTTAACTTTATCAGTTTGAGCATTGGCAGAGCTTCTGAAATGTTGAAACTGAAACAGCAAAGAAGGGAGAGTCCACCAATAAGAATTCCCTAACTTAGGACAAAGTAAGCTCTCTGAGCGTCTTGACTAATATTGGCATGTGAAATTTCTATAGATATGGACTTGCAGAGAGAGATATATGGTTGGGGGCACAAAAGTGTACGGCAACTGTGAACCAACGATAGGGTTGTGAGCTTTTGGCTTGTTTCATGCATCGGATCTAGGAAGTGTACAACAGTGAAATGGAAATCTCTGATGCACTCAAAGTTACAGACAGAGACAATAATTAATATTATATATTTATAACATACTTTACTAATCTAACATGATACTACGTATATCATACATATATACATATACATATACACAGTCACCACCATCACGTGACTGTCAAATTCCATCATTCTTATTTTAATTTGATGTTTTCAATGTTAGATATAGCTAAGATGTCAAATTCCATGATACAAGCTTATGTTTCTTCTTATGTCCGGTATTTGAATTGTGAATGGTGTGAAGCTTATACTCATCTTGAAGTGACAAATTATTTACAAAATTGGTTGTTGGTAAAGAGGATTTGATATCTAAATTTGGTTAGGGCTTATATATTCTTTACTATCCTAATCATAGGATCTTTTTCAAATTTTGGTATGGAACTTGTTAAAATTTATAAGGATAATTTGGTGATTGTTGAATTTATGACCTGTTGGTTTTTTGCGCATTTAGTGTCATGTTTCTTTGTTTCGGTACTATAATTGGTAAAAAGGCTAATCGAAGCAGCATTTTTCTAGCCAAACTGCAAGTGGCACTAATATGCTAAAATGCAATGTGGCCGGGCAATTGTGGTGGTCAAGTTTAAGGGATTGGCATTGGTTATGAGGATTAAGTGGATGAGGTCACATTGGTGATTAATGTTACGTGAGTGGGAGTTGCTGGTGGTTTGTGCGACTTAGGTGGTATACAATTGATGACCTGGTCTGTAACTTTGTTAGTGAACACTGGTTGTTCAAGTGGTTTGGGTGGTTGCAGTGTGGACAGCAGTGCTAGTGCTAGTGCTAGTGCTGGTGCTGGTGGACATGAACTGTAACTTGTTAGTGAGCCCAAGAGATCGATGATAAAGTGCTGGTAGTTGATGAGGACAGCAGTGACTGTGACACCTTGTCACAGTGGTCACGGTGACCCTTTCTCATAGTTTTTTGTCTTGAAAGTAGTACTTTGTATTTCAATTAGTGTAAAAGTTAGTTTCAATTTGATTTTTTTTTTTTTTTTTTTTTTTTTTTTTTTTTTTTTGTTGTTGTTGTTGTTGTTGTTAGTGTGTGATCTATTGTATGCCATTAAATTTTTTGTTACTTCTTGTTAATTAATTAAAATTTTTTTTTTTTGTTAGGTCAAGTAGATCAAAGTTAAGTATCACATTATTATAACAAGTGTATGTCTCATTAAATTTCAATTCACCATCATGTTTATTTATTTATTTATTTATACAATAACTAAGAAAGGTGGGAAAGCTGACTATGAGGAGGCTATTTTGGATCCTGGATCAATACACTATTACGTTATACAAGCTAATGGAAAACTTCAGAGCAACTACCATGTTGCTGAGAGAGTGAAACACCAGAACATAGTTGAATATTGAGGATTTGATGTGAATTAGATTTGGTATTTTTTGATCTCTACGAGACCACCTTTGACGAGTGGGTCAAGAAGTATGAAGTTATGTTTTTGGCCATTTTACCCGACGGCCTCGTAGGCACCTACTTACCGGCAAAGCAAGCCATGCATTAAGATGATTAGTAATTTTTAAAAAATAAATTTTTTTTTTTGAGTTATGCTTGTGTTATTGAATCAGAGGCATGTTGTCTGCTTTGACACATCTACACGATCTGGGATTCCACACTAGTGGAAAGTGGAAAACATTTATGTTGTCAAACATATCCCTTTCTTGAGGACTCCTCCGTATACTGAAGTGGGGTCCCTTAAGGTCTGGAATTTCTTTGTTTTTGCACACTTATCTCATTTTTTCCTAATACATTAATTTTTCAAATTTTGTCTTTGTTTTCAGAAAAAGCCAATATCTCTTAACAAAGCATTCGACATTACTAAGTCCTGCAGACGTGACTTATTTCATAACTAGGCTTGTTGACAACGTAACATCATTGAGGTGAACAAGCCTGGAAAATTAATACTGTCTAAGGTGTTGTTTTATCCTGGAAAGACACTGCCATAGTATTCGATTGAACCTTAGGTATATGAGAAATGCAATTGCGCATCTTATAGACAGCTGCTAGTTTGCGGTATGTAATGTTAAATCAAGTTCGTTATCGATTGTTTCTAAAAAAGTTCAAATTTTAACATTTTTTTTTTCTTTGTTTTTTCATTTTTTAACTTGAAAAAGGGAATCAAAGTTGATACAGATTTTGCGGACTAAGTGCCCTATGGTGGTGTTTCCGACAGCATCTCTCAGGTGCAACCGTGCAACGGTTTCTGTCCCGTGTGGGAGTACTTGACAAGTTTATTTGAGTGTAAGTATTTACTGTTCCCACCCCCGAGGAAAGTTAGGGTATACTGTAACTTTTTGGACCTATTAAAGATGATACACTTTCTGCTTTGGCATACGTTCATTCTATCCTGACATACACCGATGGAGTTTAACTTGGAAAGTAGTTTACGGCAGTGTATACTGTAACTTTCTTATGATTAACGAGTTTCTGTTGCACTTAAATGTTACGGTTCCAACTAGTCAACTTCAAGGCTTTTCATAGTCAAGGGAGTCAGCTGCTTTCCAAGATTTCTCTTAGACTGCAAAATCTTGAATCACATAAGCGGTCATCTTTCATAAGATCATGTCAACATCTTTTCTCTCCTTTTGCATAGCTTCT